GGATACAAAAGGAAACCAGCCTGTACTACTTATGAAGCAAATTATGAAGCAACTTCTTCCTATAAAGTTTGTTATCAAATGAAATCAAGAAGAAAACTAACGTGGGAAAAGCTACACTAGGAAGAATTGGTTTTCATTAAAATCTTCTTAAAAGGCAGTATCATTCTCTGATACACAGAGTGACTGGCAAGCCTTTACATGTTTCAATAAACAGTGAAGAAACTTAAAAAAAAAATGCCAAAAAAAGAAATTAGTGAAGATATAACAGATTATTACCACTAGTGAAACTGAAAACAGAAAAAACAAACATTTAAAAAGCAGCATGACATCAGCATAAGTTTACACTACAGCCTGGGAACCAGGACTGTGACATTTTAAATGGAACCTGTGACATTTAAAAAAAGAGCAATCACTATGCCTCAGTTATAAGGGTGATATACAAAAGAGACCATTTCTTAATGATACACCAGTCAGTAGAGTATTTTCTATAGGCACTGTATAAAAATAACTCCATAAACTGATGAAGTAGTAAATCTCTATTAAACATTCAGATTATAAATTTACAAAGGCAACAAAATCCTAAAAGATTGTAAACTTATACTAGAGAATTATGTTACCAGTTATTCCCTTACCATAAAATTTTACTAAAATATTTGAACAGATTAGTATTCCCTTCTATTTTCACTGAGAAAACTGTTTCCATAGCAGTTCCTGCCTAGAACTTTGGATAATAATCCTTTGCAAATTACATACCAGACTCTGTAGCAATTTTATATGGATGAATGAGTGAAATAAACCCTGAAAGCTGAATTATATTCTTTGAACTTCAGGACTCTAAAAGGTAGTAATATGGGATACTTGTACCCTTAGATGAAAAAGATGGGAGTCTCAAAAACACGATACTTTCCATCCAAGTTGTTGATAGACTCATCACTCCCTATAGGTCAATTTCACTGTAAACATTTGCATAATCTATTCACTAATTATTACTGCTGCTACTATATTATAATCTTCATTAAATAGCAAGAATTGGGACTTTAAACTTAGAAGCACTGAGAATTAAGGTATTTTGTTGCTGTACAGATGTAGTGAGGGATGAGGTCCTCTGTCATGCTGACTGACATCTTAAAATTTTATACATATATATACATATATCTATCAATCTATATATACACATATATATACATATGCATACATACATACACATATTTTTTTTTTTTCAAATGCACAGAAACATGTTAAATATGTTCCACAAATTTTTGAAATTAAATAGCATACATGACTTAGTAAGAGTCACAAAAAGAGGTGTAAATCAAACTATTGGTGGAATTACTAAGTTTTCACCTAGAAAGAAATACTTCCTCTGTCCACAAATTTAAAACTTTAATATTTTCAAGTTTTAAAAACCCACATTGAAGATAAATAGTCCTTAAAAGATATGTTAGAGATGATGAAACTATTCCTATGCTCTCATATGGATTCAATCTCTATTTGTATCAAAGCCAGGCAATTACTATTCTTCAATTGTTTCTACAGAAGTGCTTGGGGAAAGAAAGCATAACATGTAGACATTATCGAGGGTCATTATATAATTCTGTCTCCATAAAATATTCCATTGAAAAGGTAGCATTTCAGCTGAACACACATTTTAATATAACTGTCTGCTCCCAATCTATCAACACGGTAAAATTCAATTCACAAGTTCATAATTTGAAAGCAAACAGCAATGCAACATGGACATTTTTTGTCCCTTATAATTTAGCAGACTAGTAGTTTTAGAAATCAGTGTTTTAAACAATTTTTGATTATTTGATATAGAATTTTTTTTAAACCTTACTGGTATCTATTTTATCTAATTACAGAATCATTTCTGTAATTAAACTGTAATGGGTCATAAGGATCATGGCTGTGAAAAAGAAAAAAAATTAAAATGCCCTTGTGTGATTCAGTCATAAGATGGAGAACAAATCTGGAATAGATTCTACTTTGATCTGCTTGGTAATGCAAAACCACACCCAAACTGAATTCTCTGAAACAGCTCTGGAATTAAATGGACACATTCCATATGTGTGCGCTAATTGAAATGACAAGATGTGCTTAGAGAAGATCACAGTGCTGAAGGGAATCAAAGAGGATGACAGACAATAATAGATATTTTAATTTTGTTGACTATAAAGGCATGCATTCAAAAAGACTGTAAGAGAGAAAATAAAAAAGGTGAATGTTAGTGGCTCCATTTAAGACTCATCACAGCTCTTCCTATGAAAAAGTACTCCTATGAAAAAGTACTCCTATGAAAAAGTACAGGGTAATATATTAGAGCACTGTTCAAAACTTGATCAGAGAGTTAGTGAAATTGATTAGTGCAGACTCATGTTGACTTTGGGCAACAGCACTTGGGATAATAATAAAAAAAAAAGTAAATTGTTTTCTCAAATGAAAGACTGTCAGTAGGTAGGAAGGTCCAGCACAGGCTAATTTTGTCCGCTGATGTTTAGAATGGAGAATAATGTGCTTCCACAGAGAGCCAAGTGTGCAGGACTGCACAAAGTTGTCAGTGAAGAATCGTCAATTCTTTAAAACTTTAGATTCCTAGGAAACACAAAACTGTTTCATAAGAATTCTTCCATGAATATCGAACATTTTTAAAGTATACTGGCACTCCTACTTTTAGCTTTAATTTTGGTAATTTGTTAAATATATCTTGAAAAGACTTCCTTTTGACATTTACCAAATAACTTGAGAGAAACCTGTTTACGTGTTAATTTCTTCTAATAGAATCACTCCTCCTTTTTTACTCTTTGTTTGCTTGCATTTCTAAGTAAAAATATGCTTCATGCAATCTCCATGATGCTTTAGAAAAGCCTAATTTCCACTTTTCAGAACAACTTTAGGAAATCCATTATTCAGAACTACCTCTATTCCACTACAAGGAGATTGGTAGATTTATTCTATTTAGACTTGCCCAATAGCCTATACTTCATGTGATTTTTTTATGTGGCTTTCAACTATGAATGCTGAGAGATATGCTGGGGTGTGTAAGAATAAGAAAAGATAGGATATTTGGCAGCAAATCTAGATCTGTTTGGAGGTTCTCCAAGATAAGGCTTTGTTTGTTACTTTTTGGTATCTCCTTTAGAGATGCTGATCAACAATTTCACTACTGCTGTGCTGGGTGCTTTAGTGTTTTTTACTCTTTTGTTCAGTGAGAGACCAACTACCGAGATGTGTATTTTCTGTTGACCATTCTATTGAACAAGGGGAGACAGAAGGCTATGAAAAATTTTCCTATGTTTTAGGAAAGAAAGGAGTCTATAATGAAGTGGTTGCCTTAGGAAACCTATGATGTGATTTATGTTGTCTTAAAATGTGTAAGAGACTGGGAGGAAGTATTTTAAAGATGATTTGCACAGCTTGTGCTTTCCATCCTAATTCAGCTATCCAAAAAAGGTAAGTATCTTAACTTAATAGACACCAAAGAGAAGATAAATTCATAGGGTATAGCACCTTATTTTAAACAATAATTCTTTCCCATTGTCTCAGAGAACAAGCAATAGCATTCTTTTACTGTTTTATGGCAGCTAAGGCAAGAAATTTCCTCTTTCAGATAGTCACACAAGTCATGTTGGGTCTTTTTAGTGAATACAATACTATCAAAAGTGAAATATTGTAGAATGATAAAGACTTCAGTTGTTTTCTTGCTAATTATTACAACTTTACAAAGAAAATGTCTGTCTTAAATATGTCAAGAATAATAAAGTTTGTAATAGACAATTTTTTTTAGATTTAAGTATTTCAATCATGAGTGATCTAAAACAAAAAAAACCCTCTCAAGTGCAAGTACCAATCAAACTGGTATCTGTGTTTCACTTCCATGGCCCAGTAAATTATTACAAACATACAGATTCCTAGTTTTGTGTCGCATTATATATCTGCAATACTGTGTGCAGAATAGGTCTCTACAGGACATTTTGAAATGCTTACACCCACATCTACACTCCTACACTAGAGACAGGATGATATGCATCTCACTGAGGGAAAACTGTAAATATCTTTCTGCCTAAACCAGTTTTATATGCAAAAGAAAATTGGAATTGCTGTATAAATACACATGAAAAGGATTTCCCAATAAAGAACTAAACCCAACTTCATTGTACCTTTGTGGCCTTACTACATGGGAAGAGTTAGATCTTGAATTGCAAGCACCTGTTTACACATTGTATTTCACAATCTTAGTGGCAATAATACTAAACTTATAACCATAATATGGAACACTGGTAATGAAACAATCTGCAAATACATGTGTAACTACTTTCCATCTGAGTTTAAAACTGCCTTACCTAAATTACTCTGTAACATTTATACAGTCTCAGGAACTATTGCAAGGCTTTTTAGGCATCCGAAGCCTTGAATTCCCATAATTAGAGGGTAGACATACAATAAATGCATGTTTAAAGGTAGAAAAAATTACATACCTGATCTAATGCTTGCAAATCACCTAAACAACAGGCACACATTGACTTTAAGAATAGAATGGCTAATTTTATACTACAGCCTATATAACAGCTTCATAAAAATACTGATCATTTTAAAACGGTGTTTTAAAATAACATAGCCTTAATTCAATGAGCTCTCAATTAGTAAAAAAAAATTAAAATTGCATTTTTAAGCAAAGTAAGCATGATACACACTGTACTGAAAACCTATTACAGGTTAAGAGAGGTGTTAGAGAAATATTAAATATGTGGTCTTGACAATAAAAAGCCCTTAGGAAAGCTATTAAAAACTTTCACGTGGTCTATTATTTCACATTTCAACATCTCCCACTATGACTTTGTTTTTCTGTGTAGCAGGATCTTTAACTGTAGTACAATCTTTAACAACACAGATAACTAATATTACCTTTAACAATATAGGTAACTAACTAAGCTCCCAATTACTCTAGATTTTAAGTAGGTAACCAACAGTCCTTTGGGAGTTGATTGGAAAACATTTCTTACCTTTAGGTGCCAGCTGTAGAAACTGCTTATGAAGTGTAGTAAGTTGTGAAATTGTTAGAGTACTACTTCCTGAGATTTCTATGCGTTGAAATTCTGGTGGAGGAACAGGGTCAGGAACAGGGTCAGGAACCATTTTTACATCGCTATTGATGAAGAAATCTGTACCTTCTAAAGTCATTTCATAGTGGATTTTGCTAGAACTCTCAATATGATGTCGTGCAACCTCTACCAGTTTTTCAACACTGAAAACGTAAATGCAGAAACTTATGAGTATAATACACAATGTTAACAACATCGCTTTAAATTTTAATATGCTTGTGCTTTAAAAGCTTTCCTAAAGCAAGAATTTCAAATCCTCTGTGTGAATTCTGTAACTACCAAAATCATTATGAAGTCTACTCTTCCTCTGGCTGCAAGAAACCTTTTGACTCTAGTCACAAATTTAGATGTAGTCAGATCTAAGACAGAAAAGACCAGGAAAAACATGAAAGTACTTTCTAAGCTAGCATACTGGAGAGGCATATGATCTCCTTTTCAGTGACTCCTGTTTTGTAATGACTACAATTTATACGAAAGAGAAAGACATCAGCTCTCTATAATGTGGAGCACAGATTTGGCTTGCAGTGTCAGGTCAAAGGATATGATATTCTGTAAACGTGGTGTTTTTGCTGGCAGATATCAGGAGAGAAAATAAAACTGGCTGGAAGGAAGAGGCTTTGCCTCTTTGAGCCATTGCCTGTTAAAGCCTTCACATCTGCATTTATGCCTCTCTTCTTGGTCATGTCCTGACATGGATCAAGCAGCACTGTCCCAGGTATGATTCAAAAGTTAGTATAGGGCAGAAATACTTTGTAAAGGGCAAAGCTATTCCTTTCCTGTAGAAATGTCCTTTAATGATACAGACATTGGCCATTCTATGTCAGACTGTCTAATTTCCTATAGTGATCCCAAGTACATTTTATTTAGTAGGACAGAAAAATTGTGAAGAACTGTTTTTTTAATGGTCCTTGAAATAATTTTGAGAAATGTAGTATGTAGTTTTAACAATAGGTGTTATTTCCAGTGTGTGCAAAAAACAGGGAAGAAAATAATCCCACACTCCAAAGTGACAGGAGCTACTGAAATGATAGAGAGCTGTCTATTAAATGAAATAACTGATTGTCTGCTCATTAATCTGCTAAACCTGTAGTCTAGAAAAATAGCACAGCATGATAATTACCTTTACAGCTACAAGCAGAACCTTTTAATCAGCCATGAATTGAGTTACTAGCATTCAGGTTTCTAAGGTAAAACTAAATTAAATTTACATTAATTTTCTACATTTTTTCCAAATTTCTGTCTCCAGAAACAACTACATTTACTACCATAGTCTAGGTTAAAAAAAGAAAAAAAAAAATCCTATTTAAAATTGATGCTTGTTACCTTGATATTTCCTCCAAGAACATGGATGCAAGCCAATATTCCATATCTTTATAAGCCTCTTCTGCTTTAGATTTTAGTTCCACAAGAAATGCTAAAGCTTTTTCTTTTATAAGTTCTAGCCGAGATTTTGTGGCTGCCTCTGTTTAAATGGTAAAGTCATAACGAATAATATTTATAAAATGTGAGGAATATCACCAGTCTAAGCACCTAAAGTTCAACATATTTAACTGTATTTAGCTAAAAACGATAGCTTAGAGGATACTTGCTGCCTGGCTAGTCATCTTTCTGTAGTACTGTTAGGCTGCTGTAATTGTGGCTTCTCTACATGCTCTTTGTGCAGCTGCTATCAGTATGTTACAGAGGTAAGTGCATGACAATTTTTGTCTCCCTGTCTTTTCAGAGGCAGGTACTACACAGAGAGATGACCGATAAAGCTGCACTCTTAACACTAACAGAATAAAAGGCAAGGTAGATTGGTGCAACAGAGAAATTAAATCAATGTTAAAAACTTAGCTACTGTACACAACTAGTGCTTTTGCTGGACTCTGTGTATCTGTGTAATGAAAAAAAGAAGTTACCAAAAGGTAGCCAGATAACAAAGCTGAAAGAAAAACTACGATTCTCAAATACCAGCTATGTGCCTGTACAAATAGGAAATAGAGCTCAACATGTTCAGCCTTCCTTAAGTTCTTGGCTTTTTCCTTAAACATAGGATGATGAAGCAATGTCAAGAAAAAAAAAACCAACATGTTAATGAATCACTGAAATTCATATTTATGCAATTAGGATCTTCAAAGTTATTACTATTCTTCTCATTACCCCAAAATATTTACTTTTACTTTACTATTACTTTAGAATATTTATTCCTGAACTGCTTTTGTATTAAACCATGTTGAAAGATGTAGGTGTACAAGCATTTGGTATGACTGGATCTAAAGAAGTCTTATGAGTTTGTAGTTTGTTCAATAACTGCTCTTTGGCCACTATCTTTCATAATAAAATACTATGCAATAGTTAGCCCACCAAAGAGGTTCCATATGATGATGGGCTTGCCAACTATTGCCAAATAGAATCAATAAAAGCTGGGTCTATCTTCCCTTTAATGATAAAACAGTCTTCTAGTCTAAACCTATCCTAAAAAAAAAAAATAATCAGAAACCATTTTCAGTTTGGGGCTTCCTATCTTCAGATATCTACTTCTGGCTGAAATGAACCATTCTGTTTGAACGTTACTGGGTAAGACAGACAAAGAGACAGAATGACTGAACTGTATGTAGGTTTTAGAAGAGTCTGTCCATAAAGCAGTTTGGAAGAACAAACAAAATCTAGGTCCTACTGCTTGAACTCAATGTTGCTTGAAAAGGAGGGAATCAGAGAAAAACATCAATGAAATATGCAACTGCCAACAAATCCTTTCCCAGAACAAAACATTTCAAATACTGAATCCAATTCAATTGAATATTGAAGTGTGATTAACAACTTATGCAAAACATTTTCTTTCAGGATGAATATTTGCTTAGTCATGACAAATTAAATTAGACTAAATGAAACAGAAGAAAAAAGGAATTAAAATCATATTATGACCTTCAATATATTTACCACAGAATGACTAGTAATTACCACACTAAAAATATTTCCTGATTTCTCCAGACATGACTGTCTCTCCTTTTTCTTTCATATCCGTCCATTTTACCTATTGTCTCTGGTTAGTACTGACTAGCACACTAACCAAATTAGGAATAATAATCACCTACCAATATAAGTAACCAAACAGTAACATACCCTCATGTTTCAAGGCACTGAAATATTCTTGCTTTATTTTAAGTGCTATCTCTTCTTTCCTTAATTCTTCTGGGTCTATAGGAGCTGAATTGGCTTTTGCTCCTGCAGGAAAACAGACGTCTCAGTCTTTGGACTTTGCTTGTAGATTTGTGTATCATGAAAAACTACATTTTTGATGTAGTGACCATTTATGAGAATGCAAAGGCAGCTACTCAGCTACCAAATGTGATTTACATCTGCAAGTCATGCTAAGGTTAACAGCACATAAAAATACCCCAGCATATACAACTGTATTAAAGTTGGTTAAATAACATCCTAAAATGCATTTCTGAATGGAAAATCATGACTGAATAAGTATGCCTCTCATTTGATCCTAAATGGTCAGAACAACCTGTTTGACCATAGTATCTGTCAATTTATCACAACCAGAACAGAATAAATGTCTTTTCAATAATACTTGTTTCTTTTGGAATAAACTCAAGTTTAACAAACTATAGTAAAAATGTTATGGTATTAGTTACCATCAAAGTAGTGGAAAGAACTATAGTATTAAAAAAAAAAATTAGAAAAAAAGAAGGAGATCTGTTACTTCATGCCCTTTCAAAACTGCATTTTCACCTTGTTTTGACTTATTTATCTATGAACAGATATTGTAAAGATATTTTATCATGTTTTTAGAGATTGCATGGAATTCTGTAGCCACATGACTTTGACTATTACTCAAAAATATTAAAATATTTGTAATTGCTTTATCCTAGAAGAAGAGCAGATGGAGATGTTACAAAAAAAAATATGATATCTCATAAGGTCAAAACAAAACACATGGTCAATTCTAGAAATGATAAAACTACAGGTGATAAATTGTATAACTCTGTTACCAACCCATAACTCTGTCCTAGGGAGTTCTCATGTTACAGGAACACTACAGCAACACTGTGTTTGAAATTAAATCAAAGTCAATACTTAGTTACAAATCCATCCGTTCATACTTCATCTTCTACTAGGAAGAATTCACAGCTTTCTACCTGGTAATCTTGTACCACTCTGAACAAAAATTTTGTTCCAAGAAGTAATCCACAAACTCCAAAATAGCCACTTAGCATGCAACAGCTGCTGAGTTTTATTACAAAACTTTTCTGGAAGTCTGAAAAATCTGCTACTCTCTTGGCTGAATTGAGTAGCTGAACTAAGCCTAAGGCTCCCTGGGGCTCACAGCCAGCTAAGTGTCTGCAAGGCTATGCTTTTGTTCACTCTGTATGGACAGAAATAACCACAGAGAGAGAGAACTGGGCATAGTGCAAATGAAATTTCTGTCAAATAAAAAAGTCAATTGTGTTATGCACAATAACTCTGCAGTTACAGCTTTCTCATTTGGAAACAGGGTACCTGAATTTCAGGCTGCCCTACACCCACACAGCTTGAACTTCTCTCTTGCTATGTAGAATATCTTAACAAAAGACACAAAAGTTTAGGCTACAGGCCTCAGTTCCTAATGAAGTTATGACATACTGCACACAAAAGGTGAACATTACATAAACTACTACCTGCACAAGGAAATGGTTGTGAGAAAATGTATAAAAAGCCTTGTATGCTACAATCTCTTCCACCACACTACCTATTTTTCTCTCCTGTAAATAAATTTTAGGTTTTTCACCTGGTGGGACAGGTTCTTGCAAGGCCTATGTGCAAGACCCACCTCAACAGGAATCTGCTCTTTTTTAGGACTTTCCATTTAGAATATTTATTTCTACATACAATGACTACACATGTTTAAATAAATACAATTGCCATTCAAAAGCCTTTCCCCACCTTTATCACCACCAGCTTTTCATATTGATGTCACATTTGACATTTTAAAAGACAAATTAAATCAAAATTAAATGTCTTGGTTATTAATTTCTGTATTATTCATATATTTACATTTCAGTAACTTCACTGTTAAAACAAAGCCTGCATTTTAAATACCTTTTTTTTTATTAGGTGATTTGGAAGATTTTTTGGAAGATTTGGTATCTTTCCCAGATGATTTGCCTGCTTGCTTCTGTGCAGCTTTCGAAGCTTTCTGTTTCAGCTGAAGTTCTTTTTCTTCCTCCATTTCTCTAAACTCTATTTCAGCTGTTACCTTGACACCACAGTCACACATAGTACAGTACATAGTATCACCTCTGTGCAATTACTGTTTTTTTCAGCCTCTACTTGCTGAAAGTACTCGATGAGAAGTTAGACACATTAAAAAATAAAGGAGATATTTAAACTAATTGATTTACTTTTCGTTATTTATTAAAAATAATATTCTGCAGCACAAACGCAAGACAGGGACATATTAATTCTTATGGTCATTGCCTGTGCCTGAGGAAAACATTAGAAAAGCAAGAATCAACAGTACATAAAGCATGGCCAGAGTTACATGGTAATGGGAAAGAAATTCATTTATTTTAAGTGATCAAAGAGAAAACAAAAATCTAACCTAGGAGCCAACCTTTTGAAAAGCTCTCCTAATTTACTTTTAGCTACAAAGAAAAAATAATGTAACCATAGGATCAGAACACATGAAAGGTTTGAGCAAACATTGCATCACAGGATTAAATTTGTCCATCTTCTCACACTTCTCTTGAGGGCTAAGAGAAGAGTTTATCATGGAATAAGATATACAGAGGCAACATTTGAAATATTTCTCAGTAATGGAATGAAAGGCTCATTTATAAATATGGAGGTGCTGAAAACACAGACTCCAACGTTTTCCTCATAAAACTACAAACATATTCAATGGAAATATCTGAGATACACTGTGCAAAGATGATGTGTTTAGGCTGCCTACTGAATAGGGGGGCTTTAACTGTACAATCCAGAAATCTTTAAATAAATAAAACATTCCATACCATATCTGACACTGCTGTTACTGCTGTTTGCCATGTATCAATAATAATATTTTCATCATTCCTGCTAGTGGTCACTCCATTTTCAGAATTCTTATCCTTAAGATTCTTCTGAGTTTTACTCTTTTCTGACTTGGTATTACCTGGTGAAGGTAGTTTCGAAGAAACCAGAGGAATCCTCAAAAGTAAAATATAAGGAATAATTTACATACTGCTTTAAAAAAAATGTTAAACCTTGGAGAATATGCTGAAAGAATGAAAATGCTATTTTCAAATTTGCAATAGCAAAAAAAAGGGAGGAACTTTCCTTATGACCAAAAGTGATGAGGTATGTTCATACAAGAAAACTGTCCAGTTTAACAACTAAAAATAATAATAGATGGATAAAACTACATCAAACGACTGTGTGATCTGTTGATGAATTCCACATGGATTAGACACAGTTTCATTGCTCAGACAATTTTTAAATTAACTCTAATTAAGTTAAAATCAGGTGTTATTACTGTTGTTTTTTCTATATTGTGAAAGTATCAGGTGGTATCCCTCATCTTTTAATTTGGCATTCAGCTTGGTGCATCTTTGTAGGTTGCTTTGATTTACATCTGTTTTTATATAATTATTAATTTTATTTACATGTACATAAAATTTATAACAATAAATTTTATTTATTGGCACAGATTTTAAACCTACTAATGTTCCACAACAATACTTTACATATGTGAGGATTGTGCTGTAAACTATCAGCAACATAAAGGAAAAAAGGAAACATTTCTAAAATAGTAGATTTCCTCCTAAGGCAGCTTTTAAAATGTTTTGAAATTCAGCAATGCATGAATTTGATACAGGTAAATTAGTAAAAATATAAATAAAAAATGAGGGATAAATATAACCTCTAAAATTATTGAAGAGTCATCATTTGACTATAATACCTGGTTAAAGAATTCTTAAATCTCCATCCTTTGAAATATACACACATATAATTCCATATACTCCAAAAATCTATCAGTTCATATTTGCAATCTATTCGTTCATAGTTGTATAATTTTAAATTGCATTTCTACCTTCTTGATTCATCTTGATCTTTCTTCTGCTCTTCGTTAATATCTAACAATGGGATTCTAGTAAAACCTTGAGCATCTTCTGTTGGGATTTTTCCTTCCATTGCCCTATAATAGTCATGAAGAAGTCTTTTTGTGTCTTGGAAACGATCCAGTTCAGCCTCAAGAAGAAAGGACAAAGAGATTGCAGTTCAACATACCACAGAATAAATTTTTGTTATCACATGTTAACAGAAGCAATTTTAAATCCTAAAAGTTTGAGGGAGAGCAAAAAACACAGTCATATTTGTTTTAAAATTTATAGTATACTGAATGCATACTTCTCCTTGCATCTATAATGTATTCACACTGTCATTTCTGGGCAGCAAAAAGAATCTTAATTGTTAAAATAGGAAAATCTATTTACAATAAATTATGTTCAATGCATTCAATTTAACTACAATATATTCTGATGTATATATATATTTCCTATAGCAAGTATACTAGTGCTGACAAATTACATGGATCTTCTTGTTCAGAAGATATAAAGCATAAAACAAAAAGGGTTATTTGATGGAGTTATTTGATACAGTTTTTCTGGATCTAGGTAATTCATAGACTTTGGACAACTAAGTGTCATGAAAATCTTTTTGTGTGAATCATCTTAGAAGATACCAAGTAAGATTCAAGAAACATTTAACACCTGTCATGTTTTGATTTATTGATACAGTATGATGTTCGTTTCTAACTGACAAAACAGTACTAAATATTCATGGGAAAATGCACAAAACCACATTCACAAAACAAAGGATAAAAACTTTGTGGTGTAAACCAGTACTCATCCTAAGTTAAGGAGAAAATATCTTCAAGTATAATTGTGCACATAGAAAGAAGGAATGAAATCTGATAAACGACATTTATACAAATCTATGTGTTTACACAGTTACAGAGCCACCAGGGAAATATATGTAACTTCCAACAGAAAAACCCACAAATAACAACTCTATAACAAAGAAGCCTATTTTTGGCTGCTTCTAAAAGAATAGTCATTACATAAAGCTATAGTTATTATATTTTTAGTCCTGTAGTTTTAGGATAAACAATTGATTTATTTGGGGGAATATGTACTAAGTAAAGCAAGAAATAATGTTTTCTATTAAATTTTCCTTCATGGAAACAAAAGCTAACATATGGTTAATACATGCTAGTAATTTTAAACAGTTATTGTGCATATCCACACAAGACAGATGAAATCAGATTCATAGTGAATCTCCTCTGAACTCCATCATGCCTGCCCATGAAATTCCATTAGAACTAGGATTGCAAAGATATAACTGAATATAAAAGGAGAATAATAAAATATTTAAGCTCTGTAATACTACTTTGTCTCCTTTATGCATATAATTCAAGATGAATCTTTTAAATATTCAGGATATTTTGATATTTTGACCTCTCTTTAGTCAGTGGCCTGAAGTCTATTTAGGGCTTTATGTAGACTCTTTGAAAACAAAGTCAACAATTTCCTTACTATAGCACTGACTATTTCACAAACTTTTCTTGAATTATCACAACATTAATACAAGAGAGTGGTTCCCTTTTTTATTAAGCATATAAAAATAGCACAGAGAATTAAAGGAGTGAAAGCCCACCCTAAACTGCTTAGGCCTGGCTTTTTCATCTAAATTAGCATCACAATGCATGTGTTTAAAACACTGTTTCCATTGTATTCCTTAAATTTACCAAAACTTTCACAGAATGGTCACTTCAGTTTGCAGAAAAGCCTGTCTAGCCTAGTCTAGTCTAGAATACTCCAATCCAGTTCTAAACTAAATTTATGCACCTAGAACAGCAGTAACAGGTAAATCTTACTTTACTGCAGGACTGAATGGACTCTTGAAAACTTCGAAGTTATATATCTGAAAGCTGGGTCATATTTGAACAGCAGCAAATGACATCTCAATCTCAAAACATAACCTCATAGTTTGTGGTTTATATTTGTTAGCCAGCAGATAAAATTTTAATCCACATCACTGAAACTACAACTGAAATAAATTTGATGTATTTGATACATATCAAGCTGTGAATGAAGTGATTCATAAATTAAAAGGAGATCAATATGATCACAGAATGAAAAAGAGCTGTAACATTTCTGTCACAAAACTCAAAATGATTCATTGGAGTTACAAAATTTTAAAAAGTAGCAGTATAATATAGATTGATAGTTTTGGGAGTTGAATAACAAGAATGGCATTTTTCTTAATCTTTCCTGTATTTCAAAGTTAAATGTATAGAATGTCATCTACTTTTTGTCTCTTAACTTTCTATATGGATTCAGAAAACACATGAACATTTGCTTAACTAAATTTTAATCCTTCACATACTTGGAGCCGACCATAAGAAATTTCTCTCAGGCTTACTGTAGCAGTCCATACCTGCATAAGTGTAAAGAAATGGTTCATTGCAATCCCCCTACGATCTGGTAACCACTCTTCATTCATGACACCAATACGTTCCTGCTCTGCTTCTTCCCTTCTTCTGTCACAGATATCCCAGAGAAGATCTCTTAGGTCCTAAAGCACAAAATCAAATATGTTAATTAATTATGAAAGAAAACTTAAACTTTTTTTTTTTTTTTTTTTTTTCCTGTGTCTAGGGCAACTTCCTATCTGGGGCTTTTCCTTCACTGATATAAATTCCAACACCTGGTCAGGTCACATGCCCACAGAGGGCTGACAGAAAGTTTCCTTACAAGTGTGCTGGAGAAAAGAACACAAAGTTCAGTGTGAAGGCTGCCTTGCTTTCCTCAGGCAGAGATGATCTACCAAAGCTAGACAAGTATGACACTGTGAATAGCTAAGCTCTCAACTCCACCAACAACCTTCCGCTTGAATGGTTTGCTAATTAATACCCTAAGAACAGTACTCTCAGGGGATGGGCAACATGAAAAAACTGAGAAAATTGTGTCAGATTTCAAGCGTTTTTCAAATTTGAGTAGCTTTCACACCATTTTTCTCTAATGTTCTTTTAATTAAGGTCTCTTCAGCTAGTGATTATGTCAAATAGCACTGTGTGGCTCACTGACAGCACTGAGGACCAACAAAGCAACCCACTTGCTCCCTATTGCCATCTCTGCATGGAAACAGTGACAGGCCATTATGTGTAAGATGCTATGGGAGGAGAAGAGTGCTGTTAAATACAGATGCCAAGGTAGGACAAAATGAGATGTCTCTGGCTCCAGGCAATTCTACCCTACCTGACTTGTTCTGGGACAGAAGAAAAGAAGAGCTTAGGCTGCTGGTAAAGCGATTCCATACTATTCTATATTGCAACCAGGTCTTGGTTGCAACCTACTATGTCAGATTCTGTTTCTCTCCCCATCTGAAGACTTCAGATAAATCCACTTGTCCTCTGTTGGACAAAAGCCTCAAGGAAGTCCCTGGGCTACCTAACACACCAATGATAGCTAGAAGGTAGCCAAGGTGCAGGCAATCAGATATCCATGGCTTCACATTGTGGAATATGCACATAAGAATATGCTGTTGGATGAAAAATGTATAAGCATATGACTTAGCTATTGGCAGTGGTGAGTTGACCTTGGCTGGCTACCAGCTGTCCTCCAAACTTCTCTATCACTCCTCAGAGGAAAGGGGAAATATGATGGTAAAGTTAATGCATTAAGATAATGATGATAAGATCATTCACCTATTACCATCATATGCAAAAGAGACTTGACTTGGGAAAATTAATTTAATCTAAAGCCAATTAATAACACAGAAGAATAATGAGAAAAAAAAAACACCTTTCCCCCACCCCTTCTTCTTCCCAGGCTTAACTTCACTCCTGACTTTTCTACCTCCTAGATGGCACAGGGGAAATGGGGAATGGGTAATTATGGTGAGTTCATTATACATTTTTATCTGCCACTCCTTTCCCTCACACTCTTTCCCTGCTCCAGAGTGAGGTTCCTTCCATGGAATACAGTCCTCCATGGATTTTTTGTATGCAAGCCCTTCCCACAGGCTTCAGTTCTTCAACAACCACAGCAGCTGGTCCTTTATGTGTGTGCAGACTGTACTGCTCCAGTGTGTGAACTCCATGGGCCATAGCTCCTGCCAGGAACCTGCTCTGGTTGGCCTCTCCAGAGGCTGCTGCTCCTACACAGCATGTCCACCTGAGACAGCCTGGGTGGACTGTATGGACTGCAGGGTGGAGATCTGTTTCCCTGTGGTACTCCATGGGCATCAGTGGAACAACCTCCATCACCATGGCCTTCTCCAGAGGCCACAGGGGAATCTCTGCTCTGGTGCATGGAGCACCTCCTGTTCCTCTTTTACTGTCCTTGTTGACCACAGAGCTGTTTCTCACATTTTCTCACTCCTGTCTTACAGCTGCCATGCTTTCCAGAAGCCACCTCTGCAGATGCTTTGCCACAAAAAACCTTTCACATAAATGCAATACCACAGAAAAAAAACACGCTAATGTTTTGTACAAACTGATGTGCAGCTCTTTTCAGTATCTTCCTTAAACAAGAAGGATTTTATTCTTTGTCTTCATATTATTTAAGTCACAGTTTTGATTTACTGTAAGCAGTGAAGAAAACTGCAGAGGGATACAGTGAGTTATATTCCTCTGTCAGAACCTTAAAACATGTTTTATGAATATCTTCTTTTTCTCTCTCACTGCTTTTCTTCTCACAGTGAAGAAGCTTCTCTCTCTCCTTTACTTGTAGTAAAGTGGTGAAAAAACCTAAAAATGGATGCATTTGCTCAGTTCTCTCCTATTTGGAACAAGAGAAGTAGTGATAGCAAGCAACCGATCACATTCAATAACAGCAATGCAGTGAGAGGGAATTTAGAGAAATTGCTGGAAGACAGATAGAGATGTGCTGCTGAAGAGTGTTTCATCCACAGTAATTCTGTGTTTGTATATTTAGGATGTGTGCTGGTTTTGGATGAGGAAGAGTTGATTTTCCTCAGAGTGGTGAGTATGGGCTATGGTTTGGATTTGTGCTGGAAACAGTGCTGATAACACAGGGATGATTTTGTTATTGCTAAGCAGCACTTGCACAGAGCCAAGGTCTTTTCTGCTCCTCACCCCACCCACCAGTGAGGGGCTGTGGGTACCAGGGAGCTGGGAAGGGACTCAGACAGGAGAGCTGACCCCAGATGACTGAAGGGACGTTCCATGCCATATGGCACAATGCTCAATATATAAAGCAGAGGGAGAAGGAAGGAGGGGGACACTGGGAGTGGTTGTGTTTGTCTTCCCAAGTCACCATTATGTGTGATTGAACCCAGCTTTCCTGGGGATGGCCAAACACCTGCCTGCCTGGCCATGGGGAGTAGTGGGTGAATTCCTTGTTCTGCTTTGCTCCTGTGCACAGCTTTTGCTTCGCCTGTTGAATTGTCTTTACCTCAGCCCATGAGCTTTCTCAGTTTTACAGTTCTCTCCCCCATCCTACTGGTAGCTGTCAGTGGCTGTGTGAGGCTTAAGTGCAGGCTGGGGTTAAACCTTGCCTGACCTTAAACCTAAGTCTTAACTGCCCTCTAGGCTTTGGACCTTCAAGGAATTTTACATACATCATAAAATGGGGTGGGTTATTTACATTTCCATATCCAGTAAGTATCAGGGAAATTTGTTTTTCAGGTATTAGAGCTGGCACTTTCCAATGTTTTAGAAAGGGTCAAGCTGAGATGATAGCGTTGAGGAGTCTGTGAGTTTGAGGAAAAACATTATGAAGATTTTCACTCTTTTCATTTCCTCTTACAGCAAGGAAGGATGGCTGATGGAATTCACAGAGATACAATGAGCATGGCTTTAAAAGCATAGAGGAAGATCATCTTCGTAATCACCTATAGGTTTGGGATTCACAAGGGGTGAATGGGTTATTTAAAAAAATATTTCTGAAAATCCTATATTCACTACAAAGTGCTTAGGCTTATCATAGTATCTGAGTTTCACTGCATCATATGTGAGTATAACCTCCTCTTCACATAATTTGAACTAGGTAATGCCAAACATGGATTTCTGTTATGAGGAAAAGGCCAAATATTCTATCTTTGTAAAATATAGGTCAGAGTGATTCCAGTCTCTTTATAATGCCATTCAGTAGAAATCAGGAATATGGATGATGATTTTTCAATCCTCTACTCCATTCTCTTGAAATATTTGTATGGAAGAGGAGGTCCAATACTTTTTGCATCTCAGATACATTAATCCATTATTCCTCAAATGTTCCCTTCAACTAAAAATGTTGTCAGTATTCCTTGTCTCCCTTTTGAGGAGCATTCCTGATACCACTCAATTAAAAATCATGTCTGTTCTGAAATCGAATCTGATTAATTAAAAGATAGCTCTACTTTTGGCTTATGCTAAATCTAGCTCTGAACTTGTTAGGACATTGAGTGTTAGATTTTTCTGAAAAAAGAACTCTCATGTTATCACCTAGAAGAGATCTACCTATCCGAGGAAATTCTATGTACTTTGTAAGAATCAGTTTTAGAAAGCATGTATTATCATATATAATTTAGAGAAAAAATAAAATATTGCCAAGATTTTTTAGATTGTGATAGAAATATCCAACTTGTAAAATCTCTGAAAACCACCAAATTTAAAGAAAAAGAGAGCAGAGAAATATTGATTTTACAATGTACCACAATACTGCAGTGTAACCTAAAAACCAAAGCAAGATGTAAGAAAATTATGGTGAAACAATAGAGGAATCATTTTAAAGGATACATTATGCACAAGAGGAAATTACGTAGTTTAAGCAGAACTGTAAAGAGGAAGAAAGAAGTAAATAATATCATTCATGTTATATCAAGTTTGTACACAAGGAAATAATAGTCTAGGGTATATTGTAATTTCTGTCATTTACTTACAGTAACCCTTTGGTGTAGTTCAGCTTTTGTTTCCTCATCATCTTGCAGGTCACTAGCAATTGAATTAAAATCTGTCTGCCACTGAGATACAAACTCCTGCTTAAAATGTGGACGTTTCAAATAATCTTGAAATTTTTTTCTGTAAATTATAGTAAAAATAACTTTTGGGTTACAGAATGCCCCATGAAAAATACAAAACGTTAATTATTACTGCAATAGGATACTATTTCTACTTACCTAATATCTGCTGTATAATGAATTATAGTGTACTGTTCATCCCTCAGGCATCGAAGTACAGTTTTGATTGTATTCATATATGTATTTTCTACCATTTCCCAGTAAGGTACTAAAAAAGCAATTATCTCCTGTGAATTTTTTAAAAACATTAAAATTAATTTATTTATTTATTGGTAATTCGTTGATCTGTAGCATCAGCAAATACACAAAAATATTTCATTAAATCATACTATTGATTTTTTTTCTCTGTGTATTTTTTTGGTTTACAGCTGATTATAGACAATGTACCAACTTATATTTTTATCCTGTGAGTTTCCTTGGGGAAAAGTGGTAGGTCTCTAACGGAATGGGAAATTCCTGCAGAATATTCCAGTATCTCTTGTTTTGGATGTGCTCATAAAATAAGTGATGATATTGAATGAGCACTTAAGTAAGAAAATTTGGTCATTCATAACTGTTTGAGCTCATAAAAATCTAAGCTGACTGCCTAGTGTTGCAAAAGTGATGTTTGACTGACTGACTGTCATGAAATGTAAATAAAGGCCATGGCCAGAGGAAATCCAGTATATATGGGCTGATTTCAGTTAACAGGAAAAACTGGTAAACATTAGGAAAGCAATTACAGAACAAATTTCAAACCATCATTGTCCACCCTTGAAAAATCTGCATCTCAAAAACTGCATGCAGTCCCAGCCTCTCATCTCAAAAAATTTAGAGAAGAACTGGAACAGATTATAGCTGGATTGGAAAACAAAGCAACACTAAGCAAAATGAATGTTTAAGAGATGCTTGTCACATTTTAAATGCCCTCAGAGGTTGATTACAGAATTATTATTCATTGCATCTCTCAATATGTGAGTTACAGTCACCATGAATTAGGGTCACCAAATGAACCAAGGAAAGCTCATGGTTTAAAGTGAAGAAACAGAAATATTTCTTCAGAATTAACATAATCATAGAAACTGTGTCACAGAGAACAAAAAGTAAAAAAGCTACTAAACCAACTAAAAAACATAATCATGGAAGAAAAGTCCATTGAGAGCCACTAAACACAAGATACAGATACGCAGCCATTTCAGAAAACCCTTAAATTTCAGATCACTAGAATCAGAGATGTCCCTGGGGAGAAAATATTAGGAAAAAAATATACTAGGAGAAAGATTAGTACACACTCTCCCTATTACTCTTTGTAAGAGACCCACAACTTACCCTTCTCAGAGAAAGAAAAGTGATCTAGTAAGTTCGTGTTAGTATTTCATAATAGAAAAAAAAAAGAATTATTATTTTAGCAGTTGTTTTCTTCATTATAATTGCAAAGAAGTGATTCTTTATTTTTTGTATTTTAGTAGCAACTGTTCTATGTATATTTATCACAATGTAATAGCATACCTTTTATTGCAAAAAAAACCATGAAATGATGTGAAAGGTTTAGGTAGAACATACACAAAATACTAACAGAAAGATATACTTTGATATTTAAGATTTTATAAAACCTGTTCTTCATCTGTAACTGGTAAAACCTTTTCTTCTTCTGGTGCTACTTCTTCAGCAGACCCTTGATCCAAATGTACAATTAGTACTTCCAAATGTATTTTACGTAGCAATAAACAGAATAGATATCTCTGCTACTCTCACAGGTTCAAAATAATGGAACAGGTTTACTCTTTCTTTACCTAGGTTTTGTTCATCAAAAATATACTCATGAAATCAGCAAAATGCTAAAGGAAGACTAGATCAGTGAATATCTAAACAAATTTTCAACATCCATAAATCCAACTTTTCAAGTTTGCTTTTGTTTTTTTCTTTTGGTGGTAGAAGACACATGAAGATTTTTCACAATAGTTATTTAAAAAACTCTGATTATTTAGAGGTCACTATTGCTGATTTACTTCATGCATTTGTCCCCCTGGATGCTTCACCTTTTTTTCTTTTTTTTTTTTATTTTTTATTTTTTATTTTTTTTTATTTTTTTTATTTTTTTATTTTAAATTATTCTTTTTTTCTGGGTAACAAGGAGGAAAAGTGAAATAAAGATGTATCAAAATTAAATGTCAAAATCACTTCTTGTTACCCATATTTTTATCCTGCTACTGATAAATGACTATATGTTCATAACGGCAAATTAGACTTTCTTATACAATTATGCTATCCCACAGATGAATGTAATTTTAAACCAGGAAAAAAAGACTGAATTTAATGCTTTAATATTGATGTGAAATTGGCCTATATACTCCAAAACAGCCAAAGTACAAGAGAAAAGTTCAGGGTTCTGGTGTAGTTATCACTAACTGGCACATCCTCAGATTTTTTCAGGGGCAGCATATAATTTTATAAGTGTATAAGTAATTATAAGTGTTAATTATGAAAACAACGCCTTTTGTTACTGAATCCTAGAAAGTAAGAATGTGAAAACTTACTTCTATTCTGATTTTTCACAGTTTCTTCTATTATTTCCTTCACTGTTTCACACACAAGACCTTCTTCTGTCTCTGCATTCACTTTCACTAGAGTGTTTTGATGGATTGAAAACCATTTCTCCAATTTTGGCCATGTCTTTAGGAAGCCTGAAATTCTACAAAAATTATATCAATGTATAAATTTAAAACCTAACTAATAGAAAATCAAAGATTTACTAAAATTTATAAATAAATGAGAAAGATCATCTAATTTAACACTAAAAGAACTCCACCCACATCAACACCTTCATTTTAAATATAAGAAAATTTTCAAAATTCTATTGATTACTAATAATGCATTTCTAACTCTTTCATGTCACAAGCTACATTTACTTTCTAATATCACAATTAAACCAATAGTAATACGTCTGAAACAGTTAAAAGTATCAAATATTCAGAAGATAGAACTGTTTTTGATTTTGCTCTTCGTGTAAAGTTAAACATCTAGTGATTCAATTAAAATTAGAAAATTAAGTGGTTTTTGTAAATGTAGAAATGGAAGATAGCATTTTACAAAATCTCTAACTCAAATCAAGTGTATGTCACTCAAGAGCAGTCACATATGTGAGAGACCTCAGATATAAGGGCACACACAGATACACACATATATACGGAATGTATACACATAGTTCATACAATATATACCCGAGAACTAAATTCTCCTTGGAACAATACCCTGGAAAGTCAAAACACAAGAATCCTTGTTTTCCAGGAAGATTCATATTGTGCAGAAAATGAAAATACCCTTTAGGCTCCACATTATAGAAACGTCTAAGTAAGTTCTTAACATTAAGCATGTCAGTATTGTCCTGGATCACTTACGAGATTCAGATCAGTTACATGCCTTAACATCTGCCTGAAGCAATTTTTTTGTATTTCGTGTAACTTACCTATGTAGAATCTGCTCCCTGGCCAAATCAATCTTCTCTTCAACAATTTCAGTGTCTGGATTTTGACTGCTGCTCCATTCAGCCTGAGATGACTTTCTTTTATGTACTGTGTGTAAAACCACATATATAAGCATATATTAAAAAAGGCAATTATTCAGACAGTTATTAACCCAAACTAAGATAATCATTACAAGAACAAATTTGGTGTTCTTTGGTCTTACACTTTTTCACTTAAAAGTTGAGTACCAGACTTCTTAAAAGAAAGTAAAAGTCAGAGAACATGACAGAAATATAAAATTAAGCCATAAAGGACCTAAGACACTGTCCTGCCTCTTCCTCTTTTTAAGTGCATAGCCAATTACAGCACTAACACTTCCTAATGGATGCTTTTCAGCCATAAAAACCTGCAGTTGAAGAGATGGAGCATTCCTGTAGGCAGACTATTTCAGGTTTATCTACTCTACCAGTTAGAAGGTATTTTTCCAATTTCATCCAAAGTATCTATTTTTCACAATGAGCAGATATTACACGTTATGAAAAGACAAGGCATTTTCGCTTTCTGAATATTTTTAAATTTAAAAAGCCTTTAACTCATGAGAAATATGCCATTTCCAAGTAATTTTTAAGGTTTTTTTAATTGTTCTTTAGACTCTTTCTATCATCACATTAACATCTTACGAAATATCTTCTATTTGTATTTCTGAGATTATATTAAATATAACCACATGTTCCAAGTGTTTTGGCAGCACAAGGTCTTAAAATTAGCAAGATTCAAGTGTCTATACATTTATCCTCACCAGATTTTTAGTAAAAGCTCTAAAGATTTTGTCCCATCCTCACTCCTACCTATACATAAAAGATAAATGTAAATGGTGCTTTAACTCAGGCTATTTGCTATCTGTGCACTGCAATGAAAACAACAAAGAAGAATCTCCTCATAATTTGGATAATACACAACATACTCATTAAAAAAACTTCTGTTTCATCAACGTTTTAAAATGTGTGGTCTGGAAATAAAACAGTTCTCAAAAAGCCTTTGATGCCTTTCCCTTGGTTGGCCAGAATTTACTTTGATTTCTGATCATTCATTGACTAACTGAAGACAAGACAAAGGCAGTAATCAATAGGGAATTTATTCTGGCAGTGTCAGGGAATGACCATTGGCACATCCCTCTGTTTATAATTTCTTTTTTCCCTTTCTAAGTGTGTCTCCTGAAGAAAAATGCTATTTACAGACACTCATTTGTAATGCATCATAATCTGTACCTGTTATAATTTGTCTTTTTTCTACCTGCTGTTTTATGTGACTTGTAACACCACCCACTGTGCTATCTCAGCTGCAGTGAGAGTTCAAATACAAAAGACACTATAAATAAAAAAAGCATATACACATGCACTTGCACACTTCTGCTTTGCCTTTGACTGAAACAAACAGAATTATCTAAAATAATCTGGAAGCATTCAAGGCACAATTAATGAAAGTGATACTGTGAGATATAGAGAAATTGTCCAGTAGTGCTATTTTGAATTAATAATTATGACTTACAAATATCTGCTTGTCATTTTACTTTGTTAATAGTAGTTGATAACTTACACTTCACATTAGCTGCACGTTTCAGTACCAGACTGTCTGAAATATCCAATAATATAGAAACATCAAATGCAGGTGAGGTAGGAGGAGGCTTGTTAGGAGCTCTGGGATCTATAGCAAGGGACAGCTTTTCAGAAATTGGATCTTTTGCTTCTACATCAATCCCTGTATAGGATTTTTCAAATAGCTTTGCCTGGTTAATTGTCATTGGAAACCCTTCCACAATCCACCCCTTCTCTGGTGGTATTTTGCTAAAAGGAAGTGAAGAACCAGAATTACACAGTGAAATGATAGCATATTAGTAAAACTGAAAGAACAGCTTGCTCTAGCCATCATTCATTCTTAATACACTATATTAAATTTCCTGATGAATACAGAATATGACAGATATTATTAAACTGTAAAGTAACGGATTTTAAATCAGAAAAAAAATAACAGTGAGTCAACTTAAAGTGAAAACATCAGAAACAAAACACTTTTTGTTGTCTTGATAAATAAAGTTTTCAAAACCACTGTATAGGTTTATATCTGCTCAGAGGTATAAATGCTCAAATAAAGTTTTTGCTAAAGTAATAAATAGGGAATTCTGTTTTATAATGTACAGTACACTAATGGGAATACTACAACTTAAATAATATCCATGTAGGAACTTAACTACAGTGCTAACTGCGCCTCAAGGTAGTTGAGACGATTTTCTGTCAGACAAGAGTAGATAAAACCAAGTAGCTATACAAATTCATACAGAATGGCTTCCAACAGGATGTCAATTAGTAATTCATCGGGAACACTTTTTCCGCTCTTCAGCCATTTCTGTGATGCAGCACCAAGCTGGGCACGTACAGATAGCTGTGGAAGAGTGCAAAGTATGCTCAGAATGTCCATAACAGTCATTGAAAAGAGTAGTTGAAAAGTGTATGACTCCATATCTTATATCAATATTTATATTGGGGGTGGTGACTGTTATTTATCAATATTCAGTAGTTGGGGGGGGGTCTATTAAAGTGAATACCTTTAATTGTAAAAAATGCCTAGTTTATTCAAAATCTCCAGCTGATTTCTGTGATTAGACTCATAAAAATACTGAAAAAAAACAAGGTAGAGAAAGCAAGGATATAAAGGCCGAGAAATTAAAAATTAAGTGTTCTGGTTCTCAGCTTATTCTGGTTTCCACTACCACTGATAATTTCATACAGCAGCACATAAATTCTTTAATTTTACACGGATTATTTTATATCTTAGCTTTGGAAGTAATTTTCAGTGACCAGTAAGCCAAAGAACTCACTGTAGAATTAAGCATTTTTAACATAAAGAAAAGAAACCTTGTCATGGGATGAATTATCTGTTTGGCAGCAGCAAGCAGAAATACATTTTTGCTAACTCAGAAATGTAATAGAAAATACCATATCTTACGTAAATGTGAGATTTCACATGAAAATATAGAATTTTAACATGATGTACAACTAAAAACAACATATAGAAGTACAGATTTTCACAATAAGTTCTTCTAATATTTCAGAAAATACTTGAATTGATGTCAGCAATTCAGAATGATGAAAAGGTGTCACCATTTAATTCACTTAACCATTTTAATTAATATCTTTTTATAAAGTAGAAACTAAAATTGGACTACTAACCTTGGATAGGCCATCCTGACTGTTATCCAATTCAAATTCTTCCTGGGATGGATCCTTTTCAACAGGACAATTGTCTAAAATAGGTTCTAAAATAAAGTTTGATGATGCTATTACTATAGAATTCGTTATTATAGATAAAGAATAAAAGTACATGGCTTGTTATTCTTTGAACAAATCAATACAGAAGGTACATAAAATTGTTAGAATCATAGAAGCACTGAGTAATTCAGGTTGGAAGCAACTTCTGGATGTCATCTAGTTCCAGTACAACTTTGTGCTCGAAGTGGCATCAGTTATAAGGTCAGACCAGGTTTCTTAGTTATTTACCCCATATGATCTAGAAAATCTACAAAGATGGAGACTACACTACCTCACCAGAAAATTTGTTTCAGTACTTGGCTATTCTCATGGAGAAAAGGCCTTGTCTTATGTCTAGGCAGAGGGGCAACAAGAAGGCTTTTAACAGGTATCTCCACAAAAGGCTGGGGAAAATGTTTGCTGGGACACACAAGAGACTGAGGTATCCCAAGGCCCTGAGACACACAGGAAGGAAATATTTACCTGTGATGGTTTCTGTTTGGAGCTCCTCTAGAAGATTTGGTGGTGAATTTGGTAAGTTCTCCTGGGCCATGTATCAAATATGACAGGAAATGGATTAGAATGATAATTCCATCTTACAGAAAAAACCAGCCTGTAAATTCAAGCTGACTCTTCCAGTCTTACCTGTCAAAACTTGGAATTAAGTTTGAAATAGAGTAAAAAAACCAAAACATGCTCTTTTCCTTACATGTTTCATTCCCATCTACCTGTTAGAACCAAGACCAATACTAGGGAACATGCTTACCTCATTTTTTTCTCCAGAACTCTCTGATTCCTGTGAAATCATGCTGTGTTCACTTTTCATTTCATTTTTAAGAAAAGCTTCAATGGCCTCCTGAACCAGAGTACCAACAGATAGTACCTGAATATTACAAACTAATACACAAAAATATTAGATAGCTACAATTTGAGTTGAGTATACATACAGAGAAATTATTACAAGCAGTTAAATTAATTATTTAATTTGGGCTTCTAATGTAAGTTGTTGTCATTCTTTCTTCTCTGAAACTACTTCAAAACGTATCAACAATAACATAGCTATCTTGCTAGTCTCTTCTAAAACAAGAATCTACAAAAAATTTTACCAAAAGCATTTTCAAATTCTCACTGAAGAAGTATTAATGTTACAATAATATTAATATTACTTTCAAGTCCCAGTGTTTCTAAGTTTATTTTGGAATATAACAAAGGAATGACATGCAACCAACTCTGGCAAGATACATACACATCTGCGGTTCTAGAATTATTAATGCAAGGATTTGCTCAAACAATTTTCATTGTAAGCGCAGGATTTTAACTCAAAAATTTTAAAGAATTTTAGGTAAACAAACAAACAACCTCTACCTTTTTCAATAAACTTTGCACAGGTAGTTTTTCCACTAAATAATTTTCCCAAAATACATCCCTTGACAGGAAATGAAGGAAATTCAGGTGAAGATTTGGGTTTTGGAGGATAGAACATCTCCATCAGTCTACGAAGCACATGACCCAATATGTTATTATTAAGAGGAGGTTTGTTTTCACTGTTCTCTTCAGTTGGGCTCCATTCCCCTGTCATTCTCTGCATAAATGACAAATTAGCAAATCTCAATATATCTCGTCTTCCATCTTTCTAAACATATGTATTTATTCACATACATAATAATAAAATACTGAAATTTGAATAGTACTAAATAATAACATAGTTTTTAGAATAGAACCTCTTTAAAACCTATAATTTTGTCATAATCATTAAACATTCATTGATATTCACTAATAACAAGTTGAGAGACAAGCACATGGTTTTCATAGATTTTTGTGATCTGCTTTTGTTTGCATCTGGATGGATCCCATTGAGAAAATATAGTCAAAAGTACATGAGTTAAGGACAGGAATAGATCACTCACCAGTTACCATTATGGGCAAAATAGACTCAACTTGGGGAAATGTATGAATCAAAATCAGAGCAGGATATTGAGCACTAAAACAAATCCTACAAACACCATTCCCCCAGACCAGCCTCCTTCCCAGGCTAAACTTTATTCCAAATTCCATAGCTCCTCCTGCCCAGCAGAGCAGGAAAACAGGGAATGGAGATTATGGTCAATTCATCATGTTCCTTCTGCTGCTGCTTTCTCCTCGGAGAGTGGAACCTTCACCTGCTCAAGCATGCGGTCCTTCCCAGAGGAGCTGGTCCTCCACCAATATATCCAACCTGAGTCCTTCTCATGGGCTACAGGTCTCAAATGGCTCTAAGTGGGTCCCCTCCATGGGGTACAGTCCTTCATGAACAGGCTGTTCCAACATGGGTCCCCCATGGGGGTCACAAGTCCTGCCTCCAAACCTACTCCAGCGTGGGCTCCTCTCTCCACGGGCCTCAGGTCCTGCCAGAAGCCTTCCCCAGGACAGACTTCCCATTGAGTCACAGCCTCCTTCAGGGCACATCCATGTACTCCAGTGTGGGGTCCTCCAGGGGCTGCAGATGCAATTCTGCATCACCATGAGCTTCCATGGGTTGCAGGAGAATCTCTACAACAATGCATGGCGCATCATTCACCACTGACCTCAGTGTCTGTAGAGTTGTTCTTCTCACACCTTCTCTCTCCTCTCTTCCCTGACATCTGTACCAAACCTCTTGTTTCTTCTTAAATATGTTATCACAGAGGTGTCACTGCTGTCCCTTGTTGGCTCAGCCTGGGCCAGTGATGGGTCTATCTTGGAGTCAGTGATGGCACTGACTCAGGCATGGGGGAAGCTTCCAGCAGATTCTCAGAGAAGCCATCCCTGCAGCCCTCAGCTACCAGAACTTTGCTGTACAAATTTAATACATATTCCGATAATAATTTTTTCCATTCCATAAACATAAAAAATAATTTCACCAATATTATAGAATTAATCAGTAGCAGATTTCTGTATTAGAGATCCCCCATCCTAATATTCTGCATTCTAAAATTGGGCAACATCATAGCCCTGTATCACTTTTAAATCTCTGAAAATTTCATGAACAAAGATTTCAAATATATGTATTTGCCTAGCATACATTCAATAGAGAGGAAAAAAATCAAACCAAAGCAAACAACTCAAACCAATTCAAACATCATTAAGTGAAGGAAATACCAGTTCATCTACCCTGAGATCAAAAGAAATTTATCAGTGGTATGATTTACTAGGTTTTACTAGTAAAGATCATTTTACTGACAATCACACTGGAAGTATAAAAGAAAGTAGTCCAAAGACTGGAACACAGAATTGTACTTTTACTGTACCAGTTTTGCATCTTACAGCACTGGTAAAGTCCTGATGTCCCTAAGCTGGGAGCAGCTAAAAGACATTTTAGTATGCAGAATAATACTATACCTGTATTAACATTTATTTGGTTGGAGGATATTAAACAGCTGTTTGGCAAATATGTAGACTAACAATATTTCAAATTAGGTTCTAGTTTGCCACTTCATTTTGGGTGCACAACAAAGCATTGAAGGCAAAGTCAAATGTTTCAGCAAGGAACATTCCAAGCAGGAAAAAAGGAAGAAAAAACTGGTTCACAATGAGACTAATAAAGCATGGGAAAAGATTTCACAGAGTCTGTGGAATCTCCATCCTCAGAATATTTGAGAGTTGACCAAATGATGCTAAGCAACCTTACCTGACTCAGAAGTTGGCCCTGCTTTAAGCAAATGACCTTCACAAACCTTTAATCCAAACCATTGTGTCATTCTATAAATTAAATATTTCATCACCATCAGCAGAAGCGAACAGTGCTGAAGTTTTAGTTAGGTTTTGAACACATGTTCAGGGTTGAATATGCACCCTCTTCCTCTGAATTTACTATATGAATCATGTATTGTCATAGCATACATTCTAACTGTAGAATGATCAATGTTGACTTTGAATACACGTCTATTAGATAAACACAATTTAATTATCAGTCTAAAATAAATATAACTTAAAATAAATATAACTTAAAATTAGAAGTCATTAATATTTTATTGATAAAAACAAATAAATATTTTTGAGTCGCACAATATCCCCTCTCTATTATCTCCAGAAAACGTATTTCTCATGTGTAATTGAAAAGACATCCTAAAACACCCCAAAAACTTGCACTATCTGAATAATTTTTATTTAAACATATAGGAAGAGATGGATCAGTTGCTTTAAATTCTATTAGACCTCTAGGAAAAATCCATTCCAAGTGGAATGGGTTCCCCCATTCTTCAGTTCTCTTGCCCTTTTAACTAGGAGATTTCTCGATTGTATCTGTCATGAGGTAAAATAATTTACCCATCAGAAACAAGTTATCAGGCACCCAGGTGGGAGTTACGTAACTCCTGGTTGAATACTTCTGAATGAAATGAGAAATTATTTGAGCAGTACCTAATGTTATGCTTGGTTTTTGGTTATTGTACTAATTTATTAAGTGATTAGCCACAACTTACAACATGGTAGCTTCAAAAAATATTGTCAAAATGAAACATAATACGTAATGCGCAATGGACTGATGGCATTGCATTTTCTTGTATTTTATCAAACATATTTGACACTTTCAGCTGGTATGCCTAAGGAAAGCCAGGTGTTCTTGAGAGATGCCAAACTGCCTGTCCTGGGCTTTTTTCACAAGCATTAGGAAGATCAGCATAAACATTGGCAGAATGACCTACCAGCAAATTTGTTATCTAGAAGCAAGACCTTGAAAGAGTTAGCTGTTCACTTAGGCTTTTAGAAGACGTAATTATAAATTGGTGCCAACAATTTCACATGTCATATGATGACAGTTTTTGATGAACAATGATTCAGAAAGTCATAAGACTAACAACATCTGGGAATAAATTAATTATGAAATAATTTGAAACAGCCTGGCAGGAAAGAAGAGACTTTAAATGTGTCAATAAATTTTTGTGATATTCAGTGATGTTAAAGTTAGAGAAGACTACTGAGACTTCATAATGTAAACAAAAATAAGACTGAAAAGTTTAATTTTTCACTAGTGCTCTCCTCTGTTTCCTGCCTGTCTCTTATATCTTCCTTGTTGACTTTGTGTATAGCCCCTTTTTCACCTAAGAAAACAATCACAAAATTCATACATGAGTTGGTATGCTGTAAATCAGGACCTTATAAAGAGAAAAATCAGAAAACCATATGTTAAAAATGAACCTACAGTAAATTGAGCTTTCAGGCATTCATTACAGAAACTCATAATGAACATCTATACTTACTGCAAAAGAAATATGTATGAAGTGGCTCAGGATGTGGATAAAAAACAAATATGTATTGTAGTTATAAATCCCCAGCAAGACAAAGACTAGGTATTTGCCATGATTTTGTCACTTTCTACTCACCAGGTTATTTGAAAAGTCTAAATATGTAGCAGGATTTAATGAATATAATCATGAAAAAACTGTACAATACATTTTAACAGGAAAACATCAATCCTTAATCTTTCAATTTTGAAATAATATTGATGTATTGAAAAGTTGATGAAGCTAATACACCCTGAAAAGTATTTACTTGTATTCTAACAGAAGATTAAGAAAAATGTCAGCCATTTTTAATAATTTCAAAACATTACTATATTAAAACAAACAGTTCATTCAAACCAATAAATCTTGTTACAGAGCTGTCACTCTAAATTGCAGATATTAAAAGTTCAGATTTTGTAACATGTCCTGTATTTAATTTTACTGCTTTTACTGGTTACTTCTGCATTTTCCAATCTGGTAATATTAATTATACCATTAAAATCCAGTTAGCTGAAAATTCATTTGTATTGCAATAAACATGCTGGTCCTACAACTCAAGAAATATAATCAAGATTATATATAAGAATGGAATTGTAACTGCTACTAAGCATCAAATACAGTTTTCAAATAAAACATCAAGCAATTAAAATAAAATGCTTGTCTAAGTTTGACACTAGAAACCAGTAACAGAACAAAATGCAAGACCACAACATAAAGTTTATGATTGTGAAAAAGCAAGGTGTATTATCTTCCATTATGCCTTATCAGTTTGGTGTACCTTGTATTCACCATAATCTTTTTCATCTAACAGACTCATTTTATTCAGCTCTACAAGTTGTTCTGGGCTAGGTTCATCTGGCAAAGGTTGAATTGAGGCTTGCTCATATATTGGTTTTCCATTTAGAAAAAGTTCCTTCCAATCCAGCAACAGTTTTAGTGGAACACGGCTGCAGAAAAAAGAACAAAGAAGAAAAAAAAAGAGTTTTAAACCAAAAATTAGAGCATTGGATATTTCACAATGTATCCAAATTTATAAGAATCCTAATCGTGAAACAAGCATATGCCAAACTAGTAATAGTTTATAATGCATCCTGTAATTACTACAGCCTTTTGTATTTGTTTGCTTTTATGACAGCTGTAGACACTCATAGGCTTCAGTGTTTTCATAAATGTGTCATCACACAGTATTTGGCTGGCAGAGCTGTATAGCAACTATTATGCTATCACTACTTTTCCCTGAACCAAAATATTCTTTCCTTTTGTCGTGTAAAGCTGACTCTTGCCAAAAATCTATGGAATATTTTTTCCTTAAAATCAGAATTATTTCAAAATTATATGAATTAAATTTTTACTTTAGTTAGTAATTTCACAAAACTGTGTGCCTAGGCTGGCTATTTTATCACATACTAAATAAGCAAATTCATATAATTTCCATTAAATATAATAATGTGTATTTCATATGGTTACTCTTTTAACATACAATTACATTAAAAAGCAGTAAGATTTTGGCATACTTTCTAATACTGTAAGTCTAAACCCACAGTCAAATCAATGAGCACCAACAGAACCATGGCAATGAAGCCCCACTCCATTTTTAAAACATTTCTACAGCACAGGCACTTGGAGATTACTGCCTTTGGAGGACCTTCTCAGAAACCCTGTGCAACTGGGGCATGTCAGAAGAGGGAATCACAGCATGGAGGACTCAGAAGAATTTGGGCTCAGTTGCTGTGCTTTGGACAGTCCAGGCAGTTTATATATCTTGGGAAATTCATCCTGTTTGTATTACTCTGAGGAAGCATTCGCCTAGTGAATCAAATCAGGATGAGATGAGCACCATTCAATTTTTAACTTTTAACTAAGGAAGTTGTTAATAAGAAAGGAAATCAGCAGTTCCACAAACTGTGGCACCAGTGGATTTTGGTGTCCTAAGAATTCAAGTTAGTTGAGTTTCCAAGAAATTATGCTAATTAGTTTCCCCTGTATTACACACCAGTGAATCCTCACATGAAAATAATGTCACCATTCTCACACACAAGCAAATTGCAGCTGCCATGTAAAATATCTGAGGAACTACATCATTTGCTGTAATGCTTATGAATAATCTGAATAATGCAGCCTAACAGCTGTTATTTTTACCTAGCATCTCCGTACTCACTTGTTCGTCAGCTGACGATATTCTCCTATTTTTGTTGACAGATCAATGATTTGGTCTATCATTTCCCAACATATAGAATAATGCTTTTTATAGCGTGCCTGAGCTCTTTCAGCAGCAATTTTCATATGGTGTTCTCTTTCTCTGGTTATTTGTTCTTCATTATCAATAGTTTCTTGTTTTGCAAGAGCCTAGAATTGTTTTTAAGGAGTAAATTTGAGACTGCATTGAAAACAAAAGTGCAGAGGTACACAGTGCTGAAAATTAAAATGAACTTGTTTATTTAACTTAAGAAACAAAACCAGCTCAATCCTCACCAGAGCTGCATAGCCAGCAGGCAGACTAATGCATAAACAAATCTAAACATTTTTATTCACTCTATAAATTCCCATTTGTTTGCTTTCTAAAATAGAACAAAATAAAGGAGAAACCGATTACTTCTTTTATGACAAACAGATGAAGACATATTCAGTCCTTGAGGGCAGTGAAATTGCAGCTTTCAGTGTAACAACCTGTTTAGAACATGTAATTTATCTTACTAGATTCTGATCTTCAAATAATTTCATATTATTGATGTTGTTCAATCTTTGAAAGATTTATGGTTACAGCAGAAAATTATCAGTAGTTCCTGCAGTAGTGTGCCTCATCACCACCTCCTGTGATGGTGGCTGAAAGTATACTTAAAGAGATGATGTAATCAATAGCTATAGCTACTGATTACACAGGACTCCAGCTGTGTTAGAGGATTTGGAATTGCTGATCATTTTTGACAGGAGAAAAATAAAATTTCTAATACTACATTATGGCCTACTATGAGCATAGTACTTGGCAGTTTTCCACAGAATTGTAAGTCCTTTTAATCAACTTAAAGCTTCAAAGCAGAAATTAGCGCTCATGAGTGAAACTACTCCAGCATTTGTCAAAAACAGATCTTGATGCCTTTAAAAGATCATATCTAAATGAAATTAGAACATGATTCCTGAAACAGGACCTTAGGCTATTGTCATGTTTCATCTGTGAGACTGTGCCTTTTAAACTCAGGACAAAGAGATGTTTTCCTACAAAGTTAAAATCAGTACGGAAGAAAAGATCAAAATCAGACTTTCAGTTGCTCAGCTTTATCCCTTATTACAGGATCCTGGAATAATAGAATGGTTTGGGTTGGAAGGGACCGTTAAAGGCTACCTAGCTCAAACCCCCTGCCATGGGCAGGCAAACCTTCCACTAGATCAGGTAGATTAGCTGTTCTTTCTCCCTGCAAAATTCCCCTACATTTTTAGCACAGTACAAAATTCACTCAGTCCCACAGTTACAGTTATATCCTTATTGCTTATAGCTGTGACTCTGAACAAAGATAAAATAAGGTATTTATCAGTAAATCATCATGTCCCTATAGAAAAGTCCTGAAATCTAACAGTTGACAGCACAAACTCCATTTTGTAACATGAAGGTATTCTAGCACTCCTACAGCAACCCAGAGCTCAGTCTTTTACCGCTTCTCTGTCAAGAGCTTCCAGGAACTCCTTCTGTCGTCTTTCTTCATATTGCTTTTCCCTGAAAATTCTGTTTTGCCTTAGCACCTCTTTTTCATGCCGAACATGCATGAGCTGAGCAGCAATCCTGCGCTCATTCTGAGATTGCTTCATTAGTCTGTAAATAAGCTGCTCCTCCCGGTAAGCCTTCTAAAAGATAAAAAAATAATAGTACTAAGCACAGTTGATAAACTATTTCCTAGAAAACTCATCAACATCTAATATGACAAATAGGAATGTCATCATATGACAGCATTCACCTGCTCATATGGGACATAAATTCAGAACAACATTCATATCTATTTATTAGTACAATTTTCACAAAAAATGTAAGAATTCAAAATATGTCTTAACTGAGATACCCAGTAAAAATATGTCTGGTCAGACCAACTCCATTTTAATGTGGTTATTTCCTGTGTGCAATGAAAATGCAGCATATTTCAAATAACAGCTTCTTATCTGAAGATATACCTGTTCCTCAAATAATTAATTTAACCCTGTTATGCACCAGTCCCCATTCTCAGCCATAATCTACAGCATCCTTGAGCAATCTCTTTTCTACAGATTTGAAATTTTTTCCTGTTTTGAGGGAATTGGGTAATTATCTTCTCCATTCTTCCCTTTTCAGCAGACTGGAACTATGAGGAAGAATTCAGAACAGAGCAAAATACAAGACTTCTGGGTAATAGTTTCAGTGTCCTCATTGGGACATGAATATAATACACTATGCGGTACTAAAGGAAAATCACTCTGAACCATTGCTTGAGACATGGTCTGTGTGCACAGACACTTCGAAGGCTGTGAATTGTTATTTTTCAAAGTATTCTTGAAAGATAATAGTATCTTCTCACTGCTACGCTTCTCCAGACTGTTCTTGGTATCTAAACTAATGCTTAATCTAAACTAAAGTTTTGCCAGTCCAAAACTCCTTTTGAGTCCTGAACAAAAACATCAATTTGCCTTATAGGTATCATTGGCAAAAACCAATGCTACAGCAGAATTCTAGAGAAAATTTCTGAGTTGTTGAGTATTTGCTTCTGATGCATCAAAACTGCTACAAATTTAAGGCCGTAAATTGGGATCTGACTTGAAGATTTCAAATTCATTTTCCTAAAAACAGAGGCACAAGTAAAGTCAATTAGTAGTAATTTAAATAAACCCCAAAAAACAAACCACACCAAAATAAAGTATCACTTCTATTTTCTTTCAATCTAGATTTTTTTTCATCAGCTGTCTGTGACAGAGAGGGAAAAACACCATTAGTAACTTTGAAAAGTGAAAAATCCAACTTGATTGCATTTATTATTTATAAAAAAAATCTGCAAAGAGGTCTAGATCTGTCCTACACAATGCAACCAGGACACTTGTAATAAAATTCTAATGCCAAGCATGCCTGTTGCAATTGCAATAATAAGAGCAAGAACTTTCTAAATAATTTAACTATTTAATGTCAATGTTGGGGAGAAGACAAAAAACAAACAAACCTATTTCCATATTTTTTAAGTTCCTTTCCCTTCACAGTTGTTTGGAATAAAGTACATTCCAATTAAATTCTGACTTGAAAATATTAAGCTAATATAAAAATATCTTAATATTTTCCTTATTTTAGCCAAAATGTGGGCTTTGCCCTCTGCTTTCCCAGTACTGAGTCTCATGGCATTGCATGACAGTCCTAGTGATAAAAGTGCACTCATCTCAGGCCTTAATGATAGACTCCTTCACCAGGATGCTATATTATCTCTCTACAAAGCCTTTCACTAAATGAGAATCTAACTTCAAATGTGTCTTTTTTTGTTCTTTATCTGTAGTGTACTATATTTGTTTGTCTGTGGAGAAAATTATCATCATACCTACAACTGAAATGGAAAACAATGCAGTCATAACAACTTCATTCTATGTGTCATTTGATACAGCTCAGGTGATAATTTTTTCCAATTGTATTGCCTACTGAAAAGTTAATCTGTTCATTTGCTCTTACCTTCATGAACTCAAGGAAATAACAGGAGGTACAGTGCCCTTCGCTGTCTCTGTTCTATCCATGTTTCATGGTACTTACTATTTCAATTAAGATTTCAAGGAAGAGCAAAGGTTGCACAATTTACTTCCTGTTGCAAGTAAATATCCTTAATTTTCTTCATTAGTTGCTGCTTGCCCTCAACCACAAATTATTACAGCAGCAATAAACCTTTACCAGTGGAAAATTGATGCTAAAAGCCTTATTCGCAGGGAATTGAAGGAGCCACCCTAACAGAGTGGTCATTTGTCATACTCAAACCATCACTTGAATGGTGTGACCAGTTGTTCCAGTGAGAAATTAAAACACCTTCTCCAGGTGAATTTTGTCTTCATAAAGGAAACTGGAAGATGCTCCTTTAGAACACTTCACAGCAGCTAAATCAGATCTTCTAATTTTAAAAGGTAGAGAACTTCAATATTCTAAGTGATCAAATACTTTGGCATGCTCACTAGGCCTAAAAAGAGCCAACAGGAAATTCTTGAGGAACATGAAAACTGGAAAAGGTAATTACCTCAAAAATACATAACAGACAAATAAAGGCTCAGAACACCAAACTCCAAACTCAAAGTTTCAAAAATTATCCTGATTGGATGGGGAGTGCAGCATTAGTAGCTCTCTTTCATATAAAAAGGAATGCACAAAGTACTCAAGCCAAAGGCTGGCAAGTTTTGAAACTTCTGAACATACAAGGACACAAAATAAAAATTGTAGAAAAAGTTTTCAACCTAACATTTTTCATCAACATCTTCACAAAGAACTGTGAAGTGTTTGAAGAAGTCATCACAAATGGGACAACTTAGTAATACTTTGAAAAATTAAGAAAGCATAATAGACACTTTTTTCGTTTACCTACTTAAGACAACAGTGGCATCCAGTGGCCAAACATTAACGCGTTTATGTTTCGTGTTGTTCATATAGTTACTATATCATATTCTTCTATTTTTCTATTTCTGAGTTTGATTTACATACAAGTGAGACAGTTCTGTGCTGTTGTGTGGTCATAAATTTTATGACCAAAACTTAGAGCTTAGCATATATAAATCCATTTGATCGACAAGCAATCAGCTAGTAATTTGTTTCTCCTCCCATTTTCACATTCTCAATTTACTGCTGATAATAAATTATGTCTGATGACTTTTTAACTCAGAGACATAAAATCTGAACAGAGCATTAAAAATAACAGGTACAAACCACCAATAATTTGTTGAAATGGTAAAGGTTCAGTAGGGATGGAGCCATAGAACTGTCAAATACTTTCAACACCTGCTCATGAAAATCTGACTGGCATCATGCTGTGCTCCACCTAGAGTACTGTCATGTAATTGTAAAGTATTTTCTCTCCCAGGCTCCAGCTTCTAGTGTGCCAAAAAATAAAAAATAAAAAAATATTTTAACAAGATTCTTTCAATAAACTTTTATAAATATGGTTATGAAACACATTACAGCACTCTGAAGGGATGAAATTCCTTTTACTCTAAATGATCCCATGCTGTGCTCAAGATTTATGCAATGAAGGTAAAACTCAGACCTGAATGCATATAAACACTGCAATTTCAGTCACCAAACCCTTTCTGGTTCAATATTTAATACAGGGAAAAAGCAATCTTGAACTGTTTTCTATATTCATTCATTTTTAAAAGAAAATACCTCTGTTTGCCTCCAACTTCTCTTAAATCAAGTAACACCTAATGTTTGAAATCTCACAAAGTTCCAACAAAACAGTTTTTCCTCTGCTAATACAGAACCAAATTACACTAAATAGATTGCCTGCATGGTCAAATTACTGTTTCAGTCAAATGCTTATTTGTCTTTTCTTCTAGTCCCTGCAATCTGTGATTTCAATTGTTTGTATAGCAAGGCTGATTTTAATTCCTGGGAAGCTAGAAACACTATTGCTAGTTTTCACTTGATTTGGAGCCTCTCTGGAGCCAGTCTGAGCTGCTGTATCCACCAAGTGCTCCAGAGACTGGTAGCTATGGCTTTTGGAATCAATGGTCCACACTGCTGGGGCTGCAAGAGCTGAGAGTGCTTAAAAAGCAAGTTTTGGGACTGCAGTGATTTCAGGCAAGTGGGCTGCAAAACTTCTTCACGGCCAATACATATGAACATGATATAAATCTCTTTGAATAAGAACTCAGAGACAGAATATATGGAGAGATGGACTCCTGGTCTAAGCCACTACAGGTATTTTTCAAGAATATAGGTTCTGAGATAGACACTGAAAAGCATCTGAGGTCTACACGTTTACCTCAACAAATGAAACTTTTTCTTAACATTTCCAAAGAATCTTCAGATATTAGGTGCCAAGGCTTAAAAATATATACATGTACCATATCTCATTTTTTCAGAGATGCTACACATTTGAAATGCTATTATGAAATATTATTATTACTACTAGTATCACTAGTACTATTATTATTATTATAATACCAGTATTATTAGTCTTAGCAGTAGAGACAGACTCAGCTATATATGTTGAAGACATATGACCCAAACTAAGGATTCACAGGGAAATATTGAAATGAAAAATAACCAGAAATAAAAAACCCCAGTAAGTTACAAGGCTGTGTTTTGATAGAATCATTATGAAAGAAACAATCTGTGAAATTAGAAAAAATTACTTTTTAAAGGAGGAATATATGAATAAGAATCTTAAAAGCCTTGTGCTTTATGGGATAGGAGTCAAATGTAATAATCTGCAACATTCATTTTTAGAAACAATACAGACATTCTCCAGAAAAGTATCTTCTATTTCATAACACATCAAATATCAAGTCTCTAACCTGCAAATAAAATTTTGATTCTTTCTATTACCCAGCACAACCATTTCAGAATTCACCAGTCCAGATCAAAACCTTCAAATGATACACTGGTAAATACAAATTTTCAAACAAGGAATGCCATGGTTTTTTGTTTTTAAATAAGAAACTTCTTTAGAACCAGTATACATTTTGATACCATAGGATATTCAGCTTTTAGGGGAGGGAGGCAGGGAATAGAAGGTAGATCTGCAATGGATTTTTAATAATCTCTGTTCTGCTGCATTAATTTTATCCTTTTAAGTTTCTAAGTATGGTGCATAACATAAGGGTGGTGGAAAAACCTTCCATATTTTTCAAGGGTTGATATAAAATATATTCAGACGTAAGTGTGCATCAGTCCCTTTATCCCCTTCAAATTTTATTCAGCCTTCCAGAAGTACTCATTTCATATTTGTAAGTACATTTTAGATTACTAATTATATGCATATGGACTATGACTTTCAGCATACAATTTCCCACCTCTTGAGCCTCGTGTGCTGCTAACTGATCCATTAGCATTTTTCGTCGTCTCTTTGCTCGTTGTTCTCTAGAGAATGTATCTTCCTCTACACGTTTATGAATTTTCCTTATATATTCATCATCTGAATAAATATTTAACAGCTCAGTTTTTGTCTCTGGTATGGTTTCTAGACTTGTTTCTGGAAACTCCTGTGTTTGTAATAATTCTTGCACATCACTGATTAAAAAAAAAATGGGAATTATCATTAAATAATTAATATATTTTATATCAATTAAGGGTCTTTTCATACAGATGCCTGTATAGTTATGTGCAAGTCTAACATGTAGAACCTCACTCTATGGGCTCTGTGGCTACATCTTGATGCTCTTCTGTCCCACAATGTCCACGAGGTCCAGAGGAAGGTTCCAGCACTGACTTGAGCCAACTAATCATTAGTTTGTCAATATAAAGCCAAATCCCACAGAAACAGGAAAGTAGGATGGCTATAATGTCAAAGATGGGTTACTCTTCAATATAGCCATGCATTCTGTTTTGCAGTTATTAATCACAGATTTACACACAGAAATATCCACAGGAGTATGCATGAGAGTCACATCTTCTCAGTAGGGTATCACTAAGGGTGACAGAATGAAAATTACTAACAATTATTCACAAATAAATCAACATACAGATAAGTTTCAGGATAAAAGTTACTTTTTCCCTTTGAAATGTGTTATTGTGTATGCACATCCACAAGCATTCCTATCCTGATGCAAGGCTAACTGGCCTTACAGACTAAAATTAATGAAGAAAAGATGCATTTTGAGCCTTTTCTTACACAATGTGTGGCAAAAAGTAGTGAAGAAATCTTGAGCTGTCCCTACTACAACTAAAGGTAAAGCTGTAGTAAAGCTGTCCCTACTGCAACTCTCTGAAATCAGTGCTAGTGTGACATTCACTCAAAGGATAATCACAGTTTAAACTAAATGAGACATTATTCTTTCTTCAAGTAGCTGCCTACATAGCAGACACCTGAGGTAGAACCCTGCCAGTTCTTAACAATTTAACATCCAAATGTTACCTGTCAGTCACATGGCTGTGTACTGCAGAGGCATTTCCTTTCAAAGACTTCTCAAACTTTTCTATCTCCTTGTATACATTCTGAAGAAGTAACACAGAATTTTATGTTTCCTTTCTCTTCACAAAGCAACATAAAGAAGGTTCAACAGAGCAAGTACTAGGGAATTACTTTTATGTTAACAAAAAATAAAGGCAAGATGATTTCCATCTTACACCTTTCACTTCCCTGCCCTCTTCCCCTTTCCTAGCTACACCTACTTCCAGCAGCCAGAAAATCCTAGAATTTTGCAGCTGCTCTTTCTGCAAGGTAATTATGATTTTGCATTGAGCTCTAGCAGAGGATATAATTCTCACCATATGGAGATTTGAAAGAAGATACTTTGGAATATGAACAGCTTTAGATTTAATAGCTTGTATGTATCTCTGACAGTTATTCAAGTAACTATCTTACTATGTGTTAATAAATTCTAGATTTAAATACATCTGTTGCTGTTGCCCAGTTGCAAAAAGTGGTAATAGTTGCACCCATGATGACAACACAATCCATGAATTTGAATTACAATCCAAGAATTTTTTAGTACTACAAATGCAGATTTTTAAAAAATTGCTGCATCTCTTGATTTGAGTTAAGCTTATTGTCAATTTCAGCTGTTACTACCATTTAATAAGAAGACAGTTTCATAGTGTGTTACAGAACAGTTCAAACATTATGGTGCAAAATGTTATAATGCACAAATAAAAAAGGAACATTAATGCTTTTATTTAATAATTTTATTTAATAAAATTTTATTTAATTAGTTTTATTCTTTCTAGTAGACTCATAGCTACTCTCAGCAATAAATGTACTACCTATCTGTGGAATTTATTCCATATAAAATTTCTCTTACATCAAAACAATTATTGAAAAAAATGCAAAATTATAATCATACAAGTATTCAGCCCAACTTTCACTTTTTGAATTTATATTATTTTGACAGCAGCTTTTGGATGGTGCAAGTACACTATTTGTAATCATAAATGATCCCAGAAATCATGGGGTTTGAGTTAATGTAATTAGCATTAAAACAATATAGATGAAAATTACCTCTGCTTCCCTTTTCTTCTTTAAGAATCTTTTGGCTTCAAAAGATTTTATGGCGGGTCTTGATGGTTGTTTTTGGGTCTGTATAACAGCTGCTTGAATCCTGGCCATTATTTCATTTTGTCTCCTTCCTATGTAATGCTGATATGAAGCAAATATAATTAAGCTGAAAATCATCTTCCCGGAAGAAACTAGAAGAGATTATCAGGCTCCAGACGTGAGCAGATGAGCAGCGCTTTATAGGCTTTTAAGGGCTTTCATTGAATTCTAAGTCTAGTATTGTACCTGTTTCAGGCCTGAATATAGCACAGAAACTAGGAATACCAGTTTCCTGGTACAGAAACTGAGACTACCATTAGGTAACACATTAGGTAACACCAGCACAGATGATCAAGAAATAACAAACATATAAATTACACTCATTTAATGTGCACCAGACACACTAGCACGTAAAGGTGGAATAAAGAAGAAAAACAGTTTTTATAAAAAGAAGTCAAAGATAGTAAAAAATATATAATACATCAAAAAATATATATATTCCAAGATATTTTTTTAAAATGTTATTTTGAGTATTTTGTTTATTGCTTGCATTTTCTTTTCTAGATACATGAAGGGACCTTTTTTCTTTCTTATTCATTTAGTAGCAATGGAACAGATAAATAACCACAGCAAGACATTCTCCCTTCATTACCCACATAAAATGCACGCCAAATTATTCAAGGCATTTGTCAGTGTGGTTCAACACCTGGCCATTTCCTCTACAGAAACTACAAACTTTGCTTTGGATGAGTGTTCCCATGTCTAAAGAAATTTGTTCCTCCTTTTTTATTTCATCAGAATAGCTACACAGAAGTACAAGATGTTCTGAGGCCATACCCACTATAGATGCCCTTCTCCTGTCATTTTCCTGCTTTTGTACAAGGCTTCGTCTTTTCTTCACAAAAGAACAATGAGACAAAACTCTTTTACAAGGACATCTCAAATGCATATAAATTGTGATATGTACACTTTGTCTTCAAATTTATAAATATTTTCCATGCTTTACAATATGCAAATACTTTCAAACTTAATATTAAGTGATTTTTAAATAGGAACATTTATAAGGTCTTGTAACAGTGCATCGGCTTTGTTTCTACGCGCACCACTTTTCTTTGTGCTTCTATAAACGTGAGCGTGTAGCACAGAATCAGGACGCCTTCACACTGGCTTTAACTAACTCATTAAGCACATAACCTTGGCTTTAACTAACTCATTAAGCACATAACCTTCAGGAAATACTTCTTCAGAAGTCTACAAAAATAAGTAATAGTCACTTTTTCAGTGTCTTGGGCTCTTTGCTCTTATTGGAGGCTCTGAGCTCTCATCTGCTCTGCAACATGAACATGAGCTCTCTTATCTGTTATCGTCTTGGATTTTGTTTCATTCATGTGGCACCACAGTTTTCAAATGTTCAATATCCAGCAATGAAGAGTCAGAAACAGCAATAAACAAATTAAAGAAGAGACCACTGCTTTAAACTGTGTTTTTCTGTGTTAATGTACACAGAAAATCCTATAAAAATGTTTAAACAGAATATCAGGAATAGTTCCATAGAAAAGAACATAGAGATTTTAACTTCAATGATGTCAAACTTTGTTTAGCTGGCAGAAAAGGACACCTCATTGCTCTATACTGCTTCCTCTGGAGGGGAAGTGCAGAGGGAGGTGCTGTGCTCTTGTGCCTGGTATCCAGTGAGAGGACATGTGGAATAGAATCATAGAATGGTTTGGGTTGGAAGAGACTTTAAAGATCACCTAGTTCCACGCCTCCTGCTCTGGGAAGGGACAGCTTCAACTAAACCAGGTTACTTAAAAGTCCCATCCAGACTGACCTTTAACACTTCCAGGGATGGGATCTTCTAAAAGCTTACCATTTAGAAGCTCTTCCTGATATTTTTTGTGTCCCTTGCCAAGTTCAGTTCTAGCTTTGCCATGACATCCACTCCTACAACCATACTTCATCTCTATACTCTTACCAGTTCACTGCCCCAGCTTCAGCAACCTGTGTTTGTTTTCCCAGTGGTTCCCTAAGTCAGCCATGCCAGTCTCTTGTCTTCCTTGACTGATTTCTTGCTCCTGGGAATTGATAGCTCTTACTTATTATGGAAGAATTCCTTAAAGATCTGTCACCTCTGTTCTCCTCCCTTGTCCCTGAGGGCAGCCTCCCAGGTGATCAACTCCCTAAAGAGCTGGAAGTCTGCTTTCCTGAACTTCAGACATCTGCCTTCACTCCTTCCCTGATACCTCAGGACTAAAATGCCACCAACCCATGTTCACTGCAGCCCATGCTGCCTCCAGTCTTGATGTCCCCAATTATCTTGTTTGCATTGGTAACCATCAGATTCAGTAAGAAATTCCCTCTGGTAGGACTGTCAATTACCTGGCTCAAGAAGTCAGGAGTTTCCTGGATTGCCTACAGCTCCCTGTGCTACTTTCCCAGCAGATACTGGAGAGGTTGAAGAACGCCAGCAGGACAAGAGCCTGTGAACACAATGCCTCCTGTAGCTGGAGCAAGACTTTGCAAATAGGCTCAACTTAGGAAGACTGTAGTAAACACCAGCCACAGGGTTCCATATTTTGCTTCGGTCTCTGATTCTTACCCACAGGCTTTCAGCCTGCTCATATCTATTCCTCAAAGACAACTCTTCACACTCAATCCACCTCTTGATATAGAGGGCAAACCCTCAACCTCTTGTTCCCCTCCTGTCCTTTCTTAACAACCCATAGTCATCCATAGTCACACTTCAGTCAGGATTTGTCCCACCCTACACTAGGGGAGGCAAGGAAGCATTTCTTTACTGAAAGTCTCCAGCTTTGTAGATATTCAAAACCCCACTGAACAAGGTCCTGAGGAACTTGCTATAGCTGGCTTTGCTTGGAGCAAGGGATATAAACTAAGTGAGTTCCAGAGGCTCTTTCCAGCCTCAACTATGCTGCCGTGATTCAAATGCCATTCTGAACTTTTCTAAAGACAGGGCCTACTCTCAGTTTCTCAGTTTCCTTAAGCTATCCCTCTACAGGTGAAGGGATATATTGACTTTTTGGTACAATCTTTGCACATGTTGGTAAACTTTCTGCTTGTAGGCTATTTTTCAGAAATAGCACCAGAAAAAAAAAGAAAAAAAGTGAAATTTCTCCCAGCTGAATTTAATTCATGATATATACCTTCTTAAAAACTCCTCATCTTGGTAACAAATAATGGTCTGGACATACTGAATATTACTACTGAAAACAAGAAGGAAGTTTGAACAGAACCTATCATATCAACACTGACTTCCTCTTAGACGTTCTCTATTCCCTTTGTTTTTCTCTCTTTGTATTTCTCAGGATATGGTTATTGCAGAATTGAGTGCAGTATAAATACATGGAGAGACACGCAACACAATGAACCAAACCACCGTAGCACAGAGCTAGGCATAGTTATAAATAGGTTTCCTGGAGGGGAAATTAGTCTGACTTGATACCTAGACCGCAATGCATTCTTCAATCTGTACTCATCAAAGGAGTGAAAAGGCAGCTGCTAAACAACTACTAGCTTTTGTTGTAATAATATTTTAAGTCTGGAGAAAGCTTGAAAATAGAGCAGGTAACACAGAATGAACCAAAACAAAGAAACACAGAACAGAGAAGATCAATATCCAATTGAGTTCCTGATAAGCTGTGCAAACCCACTGTATAAAACATAGCAAAGAACTGGTTTTTTTCCTTATAAGTACTAGGTTTTGAATAGTAGATTTACAAAATAGAGAGGGAAAGCACACAACATGTGTGAATGGTACATGTAAATATGCTACTTTTTTTGTATTTATACAAAACAGACATAGTTAATTACCTCTTGATTTTCACTTTGAGTAGACTTAAGCTTTGCAGATGCTGCAGGTCTCATTGCTTCCACTGCAACTCCAGTGAACTTTGCCTTCCTCTTTTTTTCCAAAGCAATATACAATTCATATAAAAGATGTTTTGCAGCCCCATGCTGTCTTGTCATGATGTCTTGGGCCACATTCTCATTAAACTGCACACCAAGCAGGTAAAGGGTGGGTTTCAGGCGAGAAAAATTGTTAATTTTTGCATCTGCATCTCTATAAAAACAACAAAAAAACCCATAACATAAAGTTATTTTCAATTCCAACATGAAGCATGGTCATGACACTTACCTCATTCCAAGATAGGAGGAGAAAAAAAACAACTACAACTACAGAGTTCCTTCCTTAAATAATGTGATACACACATTGGCTTAAGTTTTATACTGCTGTACAGGTAACTGTACAGCATTGATTACTATACATAACTTGAAAGTTATAACTTGAGAAAGACCACACTGGATTACATAAATTCTGATACAAGTGCACCGAAAGTGCATCTAATAGCAAAAGCTAATCTGCAATTACAGCTTATGGTATACCATCCACCAAACACACAAGGATTTTAAACAAAGTTTCTATATTAGCTGTATCAATCATTCCAACACTCACCAGTTAAAACATAAAAAATGACAAAAAAAAGGTCTGTATTATCTATTAACCTTTACAACACTTCAACATATTTTTGCTCCAAGAAAAATAAATGGACACACAGGTTAAAGCAGTTAAAGCAGTGTTGAAAACAAGTATGTGTTCTAAATGAGCAGTTTACATTCAAAACTAAAAGAGTGGCTTGCAGGCTAATATTTCTTTTGATATGTAGGTTCTCACGAAGAAACACTCAAGCTCAACAGATATACAGGGCAAAAACAAATAACAATAAATTACCAGTTTATAACAATCAGCACGTCAAATTTCATCAGACATATCCACAACTTCAGTCTGAGTCCAAAGATCATTGCTTTAGTTCACAATAGTTCCTTCACATGGACCAACAAGCTTTTGAGGTCAGCCAAGATGAAGCATAATTCTACAGAAATGCCTAATTTTAACTGAAGACCTTCTGATAACACAGTATTCATCCTATTTCTAGATTAAACTTTCCAGGAGCGCATTATTCTCACTGTAATAGCCCATACTTTATTTCTTACACACTTACACTGAACTGAAGCTTACAATGCTTATTGAGCATTGAGCTTATTACGAAATGATTATTGAGCATTTTTCTGATTCAAGGTTAAGATGAGACCTCTTGCCAGAAATCATCTACATGCACTGAGAAGCTCTTAACTTTTTATTCTGTGAGGCTTACTAGCTTGTATTTCTCTACTTCTCGCTCTTCGTATCTCTTGAAGAGAAGAGCAACAGCTGCAGTCTCCTGATCCTAGGGATTTCTCCGACCACCACAAACTTTTAAAGAGTGCCCCACCAACGGAATCAGTGAATAACGGTATCAGAGCCTAGGTGAATACATGAACTTGCACATTTCCAATTCACTTAAATGTTCCTTAAACTGTTCCTTCTCCATAGGTAAGTCTTGCTACAGACTTTCTTGTATGTCTCAGGCCCTTGAGATACCTTAGTCTTTTTCATGTCCCAGCAGGTCCACATTTTCCCCAGCCTTCCTTTTGATGTGGAAATACCTGTAAAAGCCCTTCTTGTTGCTCTTCTGCCCAGACATAAGACAAGACCCTTATTTACATGAGAGCAATCATGTACAATACATACAAATTTCATATTGAAATAAATTTCCTGGAGATGTAATGCAGTCTCCATCCTTGGAAGTTTTCCAGATCACACAGGGTGAACAATTGGTGCAGACCTTCCTGTTACTTTCAGGCACTTGGGATTTCTGAGTGTTTTATTTAGTAGGCTAAGATAGAGAAGGCATTAAGCACCTCAGCCTCAGCATGGCAGATACTCCTTTGAGAATCTGAGGGAGACTGATGAACAGCCATACTCTGCCATCTCTTTGAAGCAGGAAGACCACTCAGAATGGCCACTACAGAAGCAGATCCTGGATCTTCCCTACTCTCTCACATAGAAGGCAGCTCCTCTTAGTCCCCACCTTCCCAGCCTGTCCATTGTAAAGAGCCTATATCAAGCCATGGCAGCACACCAGCCCTGGGAGCTATCCCACTGCCCCTCTGTGATTATGCAGCTGCAATAATTACACAGCAACTGCTCACAGGTGTCTAATTGCTTCTATTTGATCCCATGCTGCATGCATTACTATATAGGCACTTCAGAGAAGCAGCCAGTTGTGTGATTTTAAAAAATTTACAGTAATTTAGAAAAGGTGTGAATGCTTCACCCAAAATACTATCTTCTTAGCACTTCCTTAATTGCATGCATACATTTGGGGTGGGCAGACTTCTGCAGTGTCTTGCTGCTCTTATTCATATGACCCTCTTGCTTGCCAGTCTAGGCCATCACTTCCTCTCTTGTTTGAGACTAAACCTCTCCATCAATACTCATTCCTAGTTTAAAGCTATCCTCACTAGTTTTGCCAGGCTGTTAGCAATGATTTCCTCAGCCAACTTAGACAGATGGATCCCTTCTCTTCCTAGCAGTCTTCCCTCTCAAAAGAGGATCTGTGACTAGGAAAAGAAAATCCCTGTGGCTGACAGAAGCTGCACAACCACCTGTTGACCTGCAGAACCTATCCACTCCTCATCAAGCCCATCCACCAGCAGAAGCAAGGCAAGTAAATACTTGGACCCCTCATGCTTTTGGCTCCAGGTCTCTGGCAGTATCCTTGGTGTCCACAGAGAGAAAAATAGCAGGGATATTAGTACAAGGGCTGGACAAGCTCTGGACTCAACCTCCAGCATGCAGCAAACCTCCCTGGCTAGTGTGTGAGGTCAGCTGATGGCAGTTCCACCTGCTGCAGGATAAATTCTCCCACTGCTATCCCCAGCTGTTCCTCCTCGTGCTCTGGGGTGGTTTACACTTCACCTGCTCAGATGTTTTCTTACACAGTACCACGAGCACTCACCTGCTACCACCACAATGAACCTGTTCTGCAGCTGTAGTTCAGCAGGAGGAGCAGACACCTTCCTTTTCCTCACAGAAGTCACCAGCTGCCAGTCTCCTTCATTTCCTATCTCAAAATTTCTGCCTGCCCCTTCCTCAGCACAGCTGTGGGTCCAGGTTCCTGTATCTGCAGTGTGTCAGAGGAGGTCCAATGTAGAAACCTCATTCTGCCGCAGCTTGACTTGATAACACAGCTCCTCCAGGAGCACACACCTACACAGGCAAAGCTACCACCTCCCCCTGATGAAGATACTCCAATCAGTCTGAAACGGAGAATTGACTCGCTGGAGAGAAATTCAGGCTGAGGCCTCTGATACTCTGGGCTGTTGTTCCAGTGGATACTGGGTATCATGCCCTGTCATGCATCCCCCATCTTCCTGAGCACATATAAACTGTCTCATCACAGTTTCCAGTCACTTCTTGCACCAACTGAAGTGTGTCTTTACTAAATGCACCTCTCCAATCACCTACAGACAAGAGCTCAGAGCACCCTTTTATAGGGAAGAATTGAGAATACTTGTTAGAAGGTGCTAAAGCTTGCTAGAAATAAATCCTTCTGAAGCCATTTTTCCCAGCAACAGCAGGCACTCTAAGAATTACCTGGGTTTTCCAATGATCCCAGAAACTCCTAAAAGATCTAGAAGTCCTAGAAACAGAGCTCAGAAACTGCTGTGCAAAACTGCTTTTTGTTGGCTGCCTTTATTTGCTATGCTCAACCTGCTCTCCTACAATTTGGTGGGACTTGAGATAGGAAAGGGTGTGAATACATTAGAAGTTCAAAGAACATAAAAACAAGAGGTTCAGAAGAAGCAGGAGGATTTTATATTGCCTAGAGGTACATGTGCACCATGGTCTGACAAAATACAGCACAAGCCAACCTCATGAATTGCATCATCAGTGTATGAAAGTTCACAGATATGCACAAGATTTTTCAACTTCCCATTTTGCAGTTCTTCTTCATTAAACATATTATCTCAGATTACCTGTAAATTTATAAAATCTCATATGATCTTCTGCCCAAGCCCCTCTCAGAGCCTCATAAGGTTTCTCCAAAATTTTCATTTTAGTGAAAATATTACAGTCACCACCAGAACACAACTCTCTATTCCTTGCTCTACACCAATCATGGGCAGACTTCCACTCTTCCCAATCTTACAGACATCCTTGAAAGGCATTTTGAACCTCTGGTCTAACAAGGTACTTTTGTAGTTACAATTAAAATGTATAATTTTCTTGAACTGTGATCAGTCTCTTTGGAAATAAAAAATCAATTCATGCATCAAACATATTTAGCTTTTGAATTCCTGTAAAAATATTTTAAATCTCAATAAATTCTACCTTGCACTAGCAAATCCTAGCTGAGAAAACAGATATTTTATCTACTTTATGGAAGAGACTTGTAACTTTATATAGAAGACCAAATGTTATCCATATGTACTAACCTGTTCTGTGAAAATTGTTTAAAGTCATCCTGAAGACCATATTTGTGCAGAAGTTCTCCTAGGAGGTAGCCAGTAGAAAAGTCTTCTGGAAATGATCCTGGAACTAAGTTTGGGGGTTCCATGATTTTTTGGGTTTTTAAAATGAAATAATTAAAAGAATCCAAAGGTTAATTTTAATAAAACTTGTTATTGTGTTTATAACAAAACTAAATCCAAGGTTTAGTAAATAATTCAAATAAATTTTAGGGGACTGATCTAGTAGTAATAGTTTTCAAATCACAAATAATTATACATTCTGTGCAGTCATTCTGCAACATCAGCTTTACATAGTAACTTCTAATTTTCAGTGTTAAAATGAAAACATCGTCATAATTGTCACAAAGATTGTGAAAATATTTATAAACTATAATTACTAGATTTTCCATACAAAATGCAAATAGAAAAAAAAAAAGCGAGCTAGCTCTAATGTGCTCCTCTTCATACAACCACAGAGTAACAGAATATGCTGAGTTGGAAGGGACACATCAGAATTTAGTCCAACTCTTGCACAGCAAACCCCAAGAGTCACACGCCACATGCCAGAGAGCATTTTCCAAACACTTCTGGACCTCTGTCAGGCTGGTGCTGTGACCACTGCCTTGGGGAGCCTGCTCCCATGCCCAACCACCCTCTGGGGAAAAAACCTTTTCCTAATATTCAACTTAAACCTCCAATGACACAGCTTCAGGCTATTTCCTTTGGTCCTGTCACTGTCACCCCAGAGAAGAGATCAGTGTCTGCCCCTCCTCTTCCCCTCATGAAGGAGTAGCTTCAGTGAGGTGTCCCTTCAGTCTCCTCCAGAATGAACAGACCAAGCGACCTCAGTCACTCCTCACAGGGCTTCCCCTTCAGACCCTTCACCATCCTCATGGACCTCCTTTGGACACTCTCTAAAGGTTTAATATGTTTCTTATACTGTGGCACCCCAAACTGCCCCCAGCACTCAAGGTGAGGCTGCCCCAGCCCACAGCAGAGCAGGACAATCCCCTCCCTTGCCTGGCTGGTGATGCTGTCCCTGCTGTCCCCAGGACAGGGTTGGCCCTCCTGGCTCTCAGAGCACTGCTGGCTCCTCTTCAACTTGCCATGGACCCACAGTCCCAGGTCTCTTTCCCCAGCACAGCTTTCCCAGCATCTCCTTCCCCAGTCTGTATACACAACAAGGGTTACCCCATCCCAGATGCAGAATTTGGTGTCTTGTTAAACTTCACGCAGTTGGCAATTGCCCGTCTCTCTAATTTTTCTGACAGTTTTGCTGCATCCTTGCAGAACAAATGCTGTTCCAACGTCACCTACCATTCAAAACAAAGCACTTTCCAAACATATTAAACTACTTTTTATTCTCTGGAGTCCTGATTAGCAGTTTTAGTTTGAGCACCTTCCATCTCCTGAGAGCACCTGCTCCTTGAGGAGAATCAACTTCAGGTTGAAAATTCTCAGGCATATATTGTCCAGGAAGGTGGTGGAGTCACCATCCCTGGAGGTGTACAAGGTGTCTGGATCTGGCGCTGGGTGATGTGGGTGATTTAGTGGTTCAGGGGGTTACAGAGGCACTGCTGGGTGCATGGCTGGACTGGATGGTCCTGAAGGTCTCCACCAACTCTGACGGATCTACGATTCTGTAGTCCCTGCCTTGCAGATGAAGATTAAAAATGTACCTGTGGAGGCACGTGGCCGCAGCAAGGGAGCGGGCCGGGGGAACCCCCTGCACGACGGCCCGACCCTGACCCCACTGACCCCGCTGCCCCAGCGGCCAGGCCCCGGCCGTCCCCGCACAGCGGGGCTCCACTCACCGATGCGCCGGGAGAGCTTCACGTCCTGGTTGAGCCATTCGCACAGGATGTGGGACATGGCGTGAAGCG